AGAAGTGATTGGTACTTAAGCAGTTTTACAGTCGGTCAAAGTAAAATACTTTGAAGTTTTGGACTAAATGGTGATCCCGAAAACTGTATACACCAGAAGGACAGTAAAGAAGTAAGTACTTCTCAAACACTTGTATATCGGCACATATCGAATGTGGCTTTTAATGGCACTCTTCAATGAAAGGCAGTGAAGATTGCAGGGAAATAACCAAATGACAGGTAGTAGGCGAACTATAAGTTTCAAAGTTTATAACGAACAACTGTTATGATGAAGTGTTGAATTTGCATATGAAATCATTCAGACGTCAGTGTTTGTGTTTGCCCTAGTGATTGAAACCACCATCTGGGTTTCGCATTTCATCTGAAATATCCACAACCAGACTTGAAAGATAGGTGTTACTAACATACTACTTAGCATTACTGGGTAATGATCAAAGTAGTACATAATGCATAGTAGACAGAAGATAGTGAAACAGAAGACTCAGAAATGTAAATTATAAGTTATAAAAGAACTTTAAAAGTGCAATATTCTGTGTACTCTGGACTAGAGTCTTCATGCATATTTAATAAAAAAGTAAATAAAGTTCGTAAGTGTGTTTGGCTTTAATTTAGATTTCTTCACGAACTGATATTAACTGGAAAAGCCATTATAAACCATCAAGCACTAAGCAGCTACTTTGTGTCACCTCATGACTATTTATCAGTTCTCTATCAAAACCATACCCAGGACAAGTCTCAAAAGAATCAAAAGGGAGAAAAACATTACAGTTCAACTACTGAGTTGAAATCTAGCGATCCATGATTTCGAAACCCTCTAAATTGGCAATTCAGTGGAACACATGACTACAAAGTTTTGGTTTCCATTAGTTTATTTCTCTGGTATTGACTCGTAAAGAAATGATTCTCAAGAGACGTATACCTTGGAATTTATTTCGTACTTTTGAGCTAGCTTATAAACAACGTAATCGAAACGAAATTTTTAGGGTATACTTAAAAGCAGTATAGATTATTTTATGAGCCACAATAGTAATTAGTTAGCCCCAGTGGTTTTAATAAGCGATGGCTTTTAGTATTTCAATTTTAAAAGTGGTTTCTTACATAATCTTACAACTGGAAAGTTGTCAAGATGTTATCCAAAATGAACTTATTACATTTGTGCCTCACAAATTACATTGTTTCTAAATAAGAAATCGAGTCTCATTACTTTTAATTAATGACTCCAATATACGCTAAAACTAACCATAATGTTAACTATTGCTTTATAGTAAAAGACTTAATTTAAATAATATGAATTTATAGGAACATTCATCTTAACTAAAGTTGGCTAGTAAAATGTGGTTTGTGATATTCTGTTTTCTGTTATTAGGTATTAAGGTGTAAATGAGCATGCAGACTAATTTAAAAGATGTTGGTTGGATGTGTCATGTTGTACCACTAAGAAAGAATAAAGCACCACAACCGGCTCCACCAATATCTCAGATTCCAAGTATTGGTTTCATGCCTGAAGATGCGTATCCTGAAAAAAAGCCTACTATGTATTTCAAGTCAACTGACTCACCCTATGTTCAATTATCTAAAATGGGTGGGAGACCAGATTTATTATGTTTCAAAGAAAATGAAAGAAACAATGGACCACCTGCACCTTATTGTAGATGTGAATGGTATTATTTAGAAGATAACGCATTGGAAGATAAACAAAATAGGAAGGAAGAATCAAAACATGTATTCAAAGTACCATTCTATATGTCCGATAGTTCTGTGTGCCCAACGAAGAAGAAAGAATTAACTAAACCGATTGTCAGTAGTACACCACCGCCTCTACAAAAACAAAAGAAACCGAAAAAATGCTGCAAACTGCCATCACACAGGATTGGCTACGCTGAGTACAACAGAAAGCCAACTAAAATATCAATAGCTAAATATGTCAGAGATCCAGCTCAGCCGATAGTATTCCCAAAGGTATGTAGCGTTTAATCAAATGAAGGCTAACACGAATATAGTGTAAAATGTTGAAAGTTTATCATCAGTGATCTTTAGAACTATGTTCTAGGTGTTTTACTACTTTCAGGAAAAGTAACCTGCATACTAGTGCTCATGCGAAACTACAATTAGAGATATAACCAAGACCAAAAGGATCAAAAATATCTATAAGCTAGGATAGAGGTATTTAAATGGAACTGTTAACCGATTCGTATATTACAATAAATAAATAAATGACATTTTCTGTAAGAGCATAAACCCGTAATTATTCACCGTAAATTATAAAGGAATACAGGAGATTTACAGCTCAGAATGAGATATTTTATACTTGACTAATATTTTTTTGCCAATAGTTAGAGCAGAAAGAGGAGAATATTGAATTCTGAATAAAAGCGCAACGGTCTAAGTTGCGAATACGTAAATAAGCAATCATGAAAAGCTAAAAGAATATTGAGGTAAATGAGGAATAGAGATTGTAAATCTATCTTTACTACTTTGATTCACTTCAAACTGTTTTATAATCTCGGTGGCACACTGGTTAGGACTATCGCCGACCATGTATATGGTCCGGGTTTGATCCCCTGCCAACGCACACTCGATATCTATGGTCGGCCTACAAAACTTGGGCTACCGATATCATGTGCTGAAAATTCCATACTTGTACCGAAAATATAGTGTGGCATCAAGCTGCAGTCAAAATCAAAACTACAGCTTTGTTCGTCTACTAGACTATTAATAAATGAAAGTACTTGTTCCAGCCATCCCTTGATTTGACCTTCTACCAGCATTGATGCTGAAGACAATGGTGGCCAAACATAAACAACGGTCGTTTCTATCAGTTGACAACCTCGTTTCGCCGAAGTAAATTCATTGCATTTCGAGCAGTCTGTGTTTACTTTTTATTATGTTTCTATGTTTATATAAATAAACAACCACTGCCATATTGAATTTGTTGTCTCTGTGATGCATCAATTATTTCAGATACATTTTCCATGTAAATGGCTGTAGGTAGTCACAAGAAACACGTTGCATTTTTATTACTAGATGATGCTTATAAATTCTTGGAGCAGTAGAAATTCAGTGGGGAAAACATCAAAATATCCTGAATACATTGGACTCATTTGATCTTCCCCATTCTCTGGATCCTCTCAATCATCTATTAATATTTTTAATGGTGAATCAAACCCATTCACATACGTCCATAATCAAACATTGAATCAGTAAAAGCACAAGTCACCTAAACTGTACACAGTTTCTTTGAGAATGTGAAGCATACCATCTAGAAAGTTGCCAAATTCATTTCTGTACACTTAACCCGTTAATCCATATTTAAGAGGAACTGAAATTTCGTTGGCTGTTGATAAGGAGAGAAATTAATCTAAAAAGACTAGAATCTTCATTATGGGCTCTTGAAGCTAAATTCTTTAAAGGAATTACATCTAAGAGGCATTTGAACATAGTCATGTTGCAAACGAAGGAATCTTGAATCCTGCTGAGTATCAGAGATAGCAGTGCCTCAGATTTATGTCCTCTTAACTTATGTCGTCTTCTTATATGATTTAGCCTGTAAACTTAACTATTATTATTTATTTCAATTGTTAACAATGAATACCATAAAATTCATTTATTGAACCTCCCAATATTTCCTGGATTTTGTCTATTGCCAAAAAGTAAGACGAATACAGTGTAACTAATATAAAGTAGTTTGAAGTAAATTAACAATTTAGTTTTTACGATTTGTCTTCTCCTCAAACCTGTATTCTTTTTTACAGAGTGATGTAACGAAATGTAATCCTACAAATCTTTCAAAATTATTGGCAAATGAATATACCTCGGACTATGATTATTATCAAAAACAATGGAAAGAAGTAAAAAACTACTACAAGAGTAAAGGTGATCCTTGTGTGCTGGAGAAATCACCGTTTAAAAAGACAACACTAGGTCCAGTTGGGAATGATGTAAAACTTTAGTGGAGAAAGAGAGCTCAATTCACATGTAAATGAACTTTCAGAATTCCTACAGTAATTCCATCAACGATGACGAGTTCAGTAAACTGAATTGCACTCTTATATAACGGTAAAAGATTTGTACAATTAATTGCTAGTTTTCAGTAATAAACCTGAAAGTAACTCTTCTGTCCATATGTAAAAATATCTATCATTATTAATTTACACTGTGGTTTCAAAGAAACAAAATACAATTATGTTCGATCAAAGAAACAGCTTTATCACTGTTGCTAGCAAACGCAATTTTAACCCTTTTAATTCAGTATAAGAATAAAACTTGTGCACTGTGGTAGAGCGTAATTCCGTTATGGGTAAATTTTGTTTTGATAAAGTCTCACAGTGTTATACAGTAATGTTTACTGATTACTTTTTAATTAAGGTAATCTGAAATCTATATCTAATGAACAAATGACTGGCAACCAATTTCAAATTCAAACAGTGGCCGTTTACGTTCTTCTGTGTACTGGCACGAAATCTAAATTTTTAGCGTAGTTCTTAGCTTATAATTATTCACACAGTCACTTAGTTGATATTATTACATTAGACATAATAATTTCATCAATCGTATAGTGTCTGTCTTAAGAATAGTGGATAGGGAAGTACTATGGTGCATTGATAATGCTTGTTCGAATTACCGTCTCTAGAACAACATCTGAAAATAATAGAATAAATATTGATATTGTATAATCGCGGCATACATAAATAGGGGTACATCGGTGATTACTAATTAAAACAATATAAATTCGCATTGCATGATGTAAAGCAAAAGGCCTAAAACAAAATTATTGTCTTAGGATCGTTTTAAATACAGTATTATTAGATAGACTAAACATACGAGAACACGGGAAGGTATGACTGGATATCTTTATCAATCTGCTATACCTATAAATAAGGGTCATTCAGTTACAAAATTTATTCAGATCATGTCCCAGTTTTCAAAATATGTAGTGACTGAATTTCATTTGAACACATGTGATCAACTCTGTGTGTTTATAGACGAAGTAAGGATTCAGTATCAACTTCTTTGTCGTAACTTTCTGTATAGATGATATAGATTGAAATACTGAGGCATTTTTCGATCATTTATCCATGGCAACAGCAACAAACCTAGAGTAAAATAAATTATTTAATTAAATAATTTAACGAGCGTAAACATGATTGTAGTGTAGAAATTGTGATTACAAAGACTGTTACGACTTCAGAGATTGATGTCTACTTATCTATCTGAATTCTGGTAGGTATTTTGAATTTATTCTGATAAAACGGCATATTTGCAATCAGAATGTTTCCACTGTGGTTAAATCACCTCACAAATGAAGGCTGAAACAGTACCGATATATTTATGTAAGAATTGTGGTCGTATTATTGTTTTCAGGTTCATCTGAGTCCCAGTTACTTCATGTCAAGACTTATAAAATTCAAACAGCTATAATATTACGTTACATTAGTTGTATTTACTTTCTGAAATGGTTTTACGAAGAAATATAACTGTGTCTGAGACCTTCATATTATCTCGCCACGTCTTGATCTACTTTAACAGATTGTTCATCTGCTAATTCATACAACTCCCTTGAATAAAAAATACATTTTTCATTTCACTTTACTGAGACACTTCAAACCACGTATAAATATTCTTGAAGAAGACAACTGGATACTAATCATACATTCTGTAAATTCCTGTTCGCAGAGCTCAGAATAAAAGTGAAAATCAAGTAGTTGTTTGGACTGTGAATACAGAAAATGAATGACATAAATATCAACCAGGTGTTTAGTAGCTGTTTTAGACAAAAGTAAACCGGATGACTACTGAATTGTAACAATTTTGCCTGAGTTCTTGGGCCTGAACATTAATCCGCCACAAGTATGATCATACATGTATCTAACAGTCATTCTGTCTCAAATACAACATGCACAAGGAAGCAAGAAAAAGGTGTAGAAAACTGTGATTACAGAAGGGGTAAACATTTCTGAAATAAGTATTAGAAACTGGAATAAATCTAGGAATCTTTACTTATGACTTTCAGCTAGGTTAAACTTAATATAGTGCTTGGAATTCCTAGTTTGAGAGAATTAAATTTTGTCAGGGAAATAATAAGATGAAACATTTTAGTGGGTGTAAACCGCAACACCATGACTCAGATTAAATACGTGAGCTCAGCTAAATTCAGTCATATAACCCAAGCTTTGTACATGAAGTCAACGCTGAACATATATTATACTAGAAAATTTCGTTATGTTCACTAAAGAGATTAAAGAATTTCGATTTACGGAAAGTGTTTCCTAAAATGGTTAAGTTACTTAAATAAACTACTAGGTTGTTCGTCTGAGGCAATATAAATGTCACAATTAAAACAGGAGGACATAATGAGGCATATCCATAATTAGAAATGAAAAATGTCACCTATTATTCTACTGTAAATTATTCATAAAATTTAACATGAAAGAAAGTTAAAACATCAAAGAAACGTTACAGTCTTATATACCCGTCCTAACTTACCAAAAACACACACTGAAGCACACAGATAAAATAGATTATTCCATTCATGGAATTGCGGTACAACGATGGATATCAGAGATACGAATAAACCACCAATTACCTAAAGACATCAGAATAAAAAAACATGTCTCATGTACATATCTGTCACCAATCATTCTGTTAAACCTATCTTTAAAGAAATGCATAATCACACCGGGAAATGAGGCTGCAACTGAAGTGAAACATGAATTTTAACCTGTGAAGACTCAGCTGTCGTGAAGTGGAGTTGAAGTTACTGAACCGTACTACGAATGAATGCCAAGTCTTTCAGTTATTGGTTTTGTAGAGTTTGATGGGTTGGAAGATTTCATTATCAGCTGCCATCAGTTAGAGGACCATTAGAAAACCAGGGAGTACTGGACAGCCGTTTCATTCTAGTTTGGAACTCTTCATCGGTACGCACGCACCACAGTTCAGTATTTCTGAATTTCTGTTAGGAATTCAGCTGTGACTGGTAGACTAATTTCATTTAAAAGCTCAAACTAAATAGTTTCTCACCTTGAAAATGTCTTCATAAACTAATAAAAAACCTAAAATATCCACTGGGGAAGTAAAATGTAAGGTCAAACTACTCAAGCTGCTATGTTTGATTTTTCCAAATTGTGTTTAAAATATACAGAGGATATATATATATATATATATAATTGTCAAAAGCCACTTACGAAGGCATTGAAGACTAATCCATAATTTACAGCCATGTTAATTGGACCGAATAAAGTCTCTGTAGCGGTTGGTGCACAGACAAGTACACCACTGAGTAATAAATAAAGAATACATAACCAGATAGCAAATCCAACTTTAATTTCTCTACCAAATATCGCTGGTAAATGGGGAAATGAGATAAACAAGATGGTCCAGAAGGAAAATATAATATACAACGGGACCTAAAATCAAAATCAAATTAGTAGGATGAATTGTTTCATGTTTTTGACGTCTTTTCACTTTATGAGAAGAAAGAAAAATAATTATGAAACCCTGTGAATAAACCGATATGATTATGAGGAATAAATTGTGCTCAAAACGTTATCCAGTTATTGATACTCTGTCACTGTGTCATATCAGATAAACTTTTTTAAAAGGAGGTAATAAAATTCTCAGTCAAAATCTTAGGCGTAGTTGTGGGCATGAACTGAGATGAAGAATAGTGCTATGTCTTTGTACTACCAGACGATTTTCATGGATCTTTGACTAACCAACGTGGTGTTGTAGAGTGTATTTGTGATTTATTCCCTTCATTATATTTGTTTAATTTCCTTTAGGCGATGGCTTTTCCACCTTGAACAGTGAATTTTATAGTGATCTGACTGACTCATATGTAACTTTAATGTCAAATGGGTAAAGTAATCACTTGGCTGTTTCTAAAATGTCATTGGTTTAAAGTAAGCTAATTCACTTACTAACTCATGGTAACCGTGTCACTGTTTCTTCTACTGTGGAGATAATAATTCTTTCTTTCCAGTTTTCTTTCGATTTTCGTATGGTAAATATTGTAGTTTAAAATCTGATCGGTACAAGTAGCTTTTGCCTACACGTTATTTCGAAAGTTTCCATTATTATATCTGTTGATGAAAACATCTACTAAGAGAGATTGTTTATTTTCTTCTTCCTTTTCTATCAGTTGTATTTTTTGAAATGTTTGACTGATGAGTCCAGATTTGTTTTGTATATGATTAATATTTTGGTCAGTTTAAGTAATATCTAGTGACTGAGAGACATACTGCCACTCAGTATCCTATATCTTTCTGATGTCATCTGCTTCGGTTATGACCTCTGCAAGCCTAGAAAACAACAAGCAATAAACTTCTTTTCTACAAGAGGATACATTGAAGATGCTTTCATTATTGGTGATACAAATTCGAATTTCTAAGAATTGCTTTATACCTTCAGTGATGGCTACTCAATCAACAGCCTTACTCTATAGGTAGAATGTGACCCTACTTCTCACTTCGTTTCTGTTCAAAAGTATGGCAACAACTCGACTAAGAGACGTGACAACACAAAAATTACATAAGACGAACAAACAATGCAGCTGAAGACGTCTATAAAGCCCGTAATATATTTTACCGCTTAATTTCTAATAATTTACATCGTAGTAGGAATTCCCCCAAAGCATGTTTCAAAATCCCTCAGTTATGCAGATTTTGCTGTCAGCTTTCGAATAATATTTTGCAGCAAAACAGATTCGGCCGTTATTTAGAACGCTACTTATGCATTCACTTTTAAAGTATCATACTTTCACTTGTCAATATTTACTCGCAAACCCTAACCATTCTAGTTGGTTAGGGAGAACCAACGTGTACCCTAAATAACCAGCCTAATATGAGAATTCCTTTGAACTCCTGCAATTGCAATTTCAATCAGCCCTCTTAAGGGAGAATATAAAGACATCTCGTCATAGCAGCATTAAAAAGGATCTAGAAGTTTAATCCAACAGTATGCATACAGTAAATTATGTCAAACCTTCATCTTTCCTATAACCATAGAAATCATTATGCAATTACTTTTAGTATCTAAACTTACTATTTCTTTTCTTGTTTTAATCGATATTTCCAAAGATCACTCACTGCAATATTCTTCTTCTATTTGTGTTTAAAATTATCGCTTATGTCATTCTACACTCTTCCAAGTTACTCTTAGTAAAGACTCATTTAAGCCACTGGAAGACATTTTTTTGGTTCACTACATTTAGCTTTTTTACTACTCTTAAAATTAGATTCCAGTGTTTTTGGTTTTAAAAAATTTAAAGTAGTGCTGGAAGTTGCAACCAGAGTTCATTTTGACTTTAAGGTATTTAATACATAATGTATGATAAAAGTATTACTAACGTCAACAGTAAATTGTAAGTCACTGAGAAAACTGTAAGATAATCTAGGCAAGTAACTCCCTGTACCTTTTGAATTTGATCCACACGGATATTCAGATCTTCCAAATACTACAGACAATTAAGCTACTAACCTTGAATGAAATGCGATCAGTGATAGTCCCCCAAAAAGCGCGTCCAGCAGCATTGAAAACAGACGACAAGACACCCATAAGTGATAAAAATCTATCATCATTAATATGAGCTTTACCAAAAAGCTGAAATAAATTTACAAAATTAACAGCAAGTGATTCAAAATCTTAGATGTAATGATTGTTAGGGTTAAAGATTTCTACACCAATTAAATTACAAAACGGAGTTTGATTATATCCATTGAGCGCCATCTATGATCGAATTTCTTTTTCCTTCACGTTCCCTAGTGAAACATGGGGCTTCAAGCTAGTGGCTTGAAGTTTCTGTAGCAATGTTTACTTTTACAGGATGGGGTTGCTAGCCTCATGCCCAACCTTACCTCTTCACCAGGATTATTTCTGGCTCAGTGAAGTAAAGGAGTGCATCTGTGGTCGGGGATCGAAACCCAGACCACGTGCATGGTCGGCGAGTGTCCTAACCACTATACCACCGACGCTTTATGATCAAATAGGCAGTAGTTTTTTTTTCTGTCAAGATATTATTGTTCTTGTTATGTAGAGTTGTTTAGCTTTGGTAAAAGTGGTTCATATCATTCAAAATATTATTGGGTCAATCACATAAACCAGGTTAAAAATTGCCACAAATTATTTGAATATCTTAACAACAAAAGGACGACTAATGGCTTAGAAGTGTGTAGTACTAGGACGCTTATAATATGACGATATTAGGTTTGAAGTTTATTTCTCTACTTGAATACTTCACTAACTTCACTGTTTTCATATTTCTTCTTCATACTTCATTTTGCTAAACTAGTGAGTCGTGATAATGCTCTCTATATATCCTTACAGAATACAACAAAAGTTCTAACTACCCTAATGTCGCCATAATTAATCAGGATCATGTGCAGAGGTTAACTTCAAAGGGGCATTCTTCATAAAAAAACAAATAACACCTAATTTGATAATCTAAAGAATTTATTTTTAACAGATGTAGGGATCTATTTTAATAAATCATATTTCTTTTACTTATGGCAGACATCACTCTAACAAGAATCCATAGGGAATTTTACCGACAGAATAAATGAGTATATGATGAATGTGATTTCTTTCAAAATGGTATTTGGTAGTTTCAACACCCATTTCTGTCCAGGTTCCATTCAAAGAAACATAAGTCTAGAATGTCTACAGACAAAATGACAATTAAATCTGGGAAATGGTGAATTGCTTACAAATGCATCAATTACGTAGAACTCCCTGACTTTTTAAGCATATTTTAACTGCTTGACTTCAGTTTCAACTCCATTCAGTCCCTATTCCCGCTTTAAGGAGAGTTGAATTACTGACTAACTGAAAGGATTTTCGAATATAAAACTGGTAGTTCTTTCCAGTTACTCAATGTTATGGTGAATAATGCTTCCTTAATGGTTGCTTGAAGTACATGAAGTTCTCATAAACTAGCGAAATATATTCGTTAATCAAATTGATTATTTCAGTGCTACTTTAAGTGACCTAACAATTTTACTTACAAAGTAAACTCTGCCTACATACCGATTTCATAACTTCAGTTTTTCATCATTCGATATTGATAATGTGAACAATTAAATGATTCTAAATTTTCTGAAGTTTAAATAATTATTCTGCATTCTTCTGGTAAATTTTTCTATGATAATTTTTACCAGTACAATCCTCCAAATGTCTACCATTTGTTAGCTTTATCATTAACCAGACATTTATACATACCTAGTTACAAAGTTCACTCTAGGTGTACAATTTAAAATATGTGGAATTTTAGTTTAAGTTTGTTTAGCAGTTTATTACTTGAAACAAAAATCAACTGTGTAAATATAGAGTATGACAAATTTATGAAAAAAAATCCATGAGACTCAATCTAATCAGGTTAAAACTGTCTAACAATAAAAACTGACTGATTTTTAATAATACCACAATACCAGCTAGGTTTTAATCTCTTGTGTTACAGTTTAATTTGTACACCAGATAGAAACATATAGCGACATAGAAACCTCAACTTCCTGCGGTACTGTAAGGACCATAAACTTTTGAAATATGAATACACAACATGTAACTGTTTGTTTCACTGACTTTAAATCGTTATTATTGCAAAATGTAATTCGATCATAAAGTTTTTCGTGACAGTTAGGCAATATATGATTCATTTGCAGATAAAAAGGTTTTCTTTATAGTACAACAAAGAAATTTATCGGCTTACAGCACAAAACATGATGTTAGGCAGTTACACTAAATACACACTTAAATAAATGTATCTAAAATCGAGTTCAGTTATAATGCTGTATTTTTTGAACTGTTTAGTGACATGATTTATACCATCAGTTCGATTTATCTTTTATGCTAACAAACACCAAAAAATAGACTTTCATTGTAAGTAGAATTTTAGAAGCTTAATTTTTCGTATATGAAGTACGAAACTTTTCTCTTAATTCATTATCGCAGACTACTATAGTAAAAGTGCGTCGGTGGTATAGTGGTTAGGACACTCGCCGACCATGCACGTGGTTTGGGGTTCGATCCCCGGCCACAGATGCACTCCTTTACTTCACTGAGCCAGAAATAATCCTGGTGAAGAGGAAAGGTTGGGCATGAGGCCAGTAACCCCATCCTGTAAAAGTAAACATTGCTACAGAAACTTCAAGCCACTAGCTTGAAGCCCCATGTTTCACTGGGGAACGTGAAGGAAAAAAAAACAAAAAAAGTCATAGTAAAACTTTGCTTTGAAAGCGTGATGATGAAGCTGGTCGTATCTCAGATGCTTTGGAGGGGTGTACGAAAAGTACTGATAGAATACCATCAGCTATAGGTGTGCTCTTGTTGTGACTTGCATCCAAGGAAAATCATGCTTAGCCAAAGACGCAGTAAATAAAATATCACTAATATTTAACAGTGACACTAGCTATACTGCTTAATTGCATTATAAAATTTTCGTCGTTGCACAGTAGTCACTTCTACTCTACGCTCCGATTTGCTTGTGAAACTAGAATGCTCAAACATGGGTGACTTAATCACTGTTTTTGATATGACACTGTTGCATATTACATTTTTATGTTGAATACGTTATAGAGAGAAGAATGAAACCAACGAAAAATAAGTGTTTTGTTTTCATACAATGTTCATCAAATGCGATATAGGGAAGAAATCACATTCAGCTCATAAGACTTTTCATATTAAAACTTTTACAATTCTGCAAATCTGTCATTTAAACTTCTCAAATTCATAAACAACGATTTTAGCGTTACTCGAATGGTCACTATCAATAAGGACTAAGTTAGTTTCCTTGAAAGTACTATTAGATTATTCACTGTTTTAATTGCATTAAAAATACATATGAAATTATCCGATGGGTTATGGAAAAGTTTCTGACCTTAAAAACGGTTGCTAGCGATGTTAACGGTATACCGGAACAAAAAACAATAATCCACAAAAGATAGAATTCTCTTCGTTTCAGTGCTTCCATTGGTCGTATATTAATTACCCTTTTCAAAGAAAAACAAATATTACGGACCAGTATTTGCATTATAAATTGATGAGTTAATGAATAATTTTTTAAATATCGATAAATTCACTAAAATGCATTATTTAGAAGTTCCTACCAACTTTGGCAACTGAGGTCGCAGAAATATTCAGTAACAAAGCTAATGCGACTCTAGAATTAAAGAATTTGTTAGTTTTCAGTGAATGGACAGACAATTTAAACTACAACATTTCCTGATAGCAGTAAAATATATACTGCATCAAATAAATCTCCACTTTAATACAGTAGTCTAGTGTATGAAAGCAGCTACTACAAAGATATTACTGAAGTTCTAGTTGCAGCGGTGAAATAAAAAGTTTCTTGTGAAAATTCCTGAGTCACAAACTAATCATATAATAGGTTTTATGGGTTTAGTTGTAATCTGTCATGACAATTCATGTTTATCTTCCCACAAACAACAGTATCCAGAATTTCTTTCTAGGCGGTGTTCATAAAAGGAAACTTGCCATTTTTGGAAAACAGTGATAGTATACCATTGTCAGCCTTGATTTAGCCATTTGATAGCAAAGACAAAACAAGAACTCTGTCGACAGCTTACTTGAGGGATTATCACTGTATAATTGGCGCATATGAGTGTGTCTGTTTTATTCCTTCAAATTAGATACACCTGTAGATTGTGAAATTCTATGAATATAACACTAAGATGAAGATTTCTCATATTTGGACTGTTAGTCAAGAATGTTCACAGTTTTATATGAATTTCCTTCATTAGCTGAACGGAATCCATAAAAATTCATTAAAACTATTTCTGCATTCTTCGTTACTCTTAGATAAAATGCAGCCTATTCACTGAAACTTTGGATTTCCCGTTGTTTTCCTTTAATGGAGAGAAATGATCGCTCTCCGTTGGTTTATCGGCGTGTGGCATGAACGCTTTGACAATTATTTAATTTTTTTTCACTTAAGGTCACTAGCAGTGGGATCCAGGACACGTATGATCTCGTATTTAGAGATTTGGAGTAGTTTCTAAAAATGATTTCCAAACGGCTTCGGTTGCCTGATCAAAACTATGTAGTTTCATAATCTTTGTCATTCAAGAAACGTATTTTAATGCTTTAACAAAAATGCGCTAATACTCAGGATTTTTAGAGAGTGTCATTAATTAAAGGCATCAACTAAGAGTCTATAATCTAATTTTTGTGCCTGTTAACTTCCATCATATAGACCTTCCGAATCGGTGTACTTTTGTGTATTCAAGCGTGCACTACACTGTTCAACAGTGACGGGTCCTTACATTCGATTACTTTATTCATGGCCTAACTTCTACAAATCGTTTTTACCAGTGAAAGAAACTCACAAAAGAGTGAACAGAGAATTTGACCGGACATATTTTATTGTCCCTACTATCAGAATGTTCTTCCTCGAAATGTCATTTCCAATAAATGTTACTTAGAGGCACCAACTTCTATTTCATCAGTGACTCTTTTAGATCCTATCACCTATGACTGAAACAAGTAAATTTCACAGGTGGAACATTTAACTCACTTATATAATATATATATATAATATATCAGTAGGTATTCGAATTCTAAATAACCAAATAGGCGACTGAAGTTTTCACTGTGATTAATGTGTTATGATTCTAATGAAAAGCACTAATCAGTAAAATGTGTTTACCAGTGGTAGTTAAAGAATATGTTGCTATATAATTCATTATCTACATAATAAAATTTTAGGCTATTTATTTTCAGTCTATCAGTATATTTGTTTTTTATCCTATTCTGCTTATGATCAGGTGGACATTGATTAGAATGAGTCTGCATTCAGGTTGAATTCTACGTCCATATCTTTTAGAATTTCAGTGATCATTGACAAAAACTGACTTACGGTATAACGTTATTTGATTATTAGATAAATGAACTTCTAAAAAATGTTTCACTCTTCTAAAACATTTTCTGTTTGCTTACTCATTATTTACAGGCACAGGTTCATACTGTTGAGAAAAAATGAATGAAAAAAAAATAATACAAGTGATAAGCCTTCAAATGATTATCATGGAATTAAAAATAGTCAAATTTATTAGTTGGTTTTTTTAAAGTATTACTTTGCAGAGAACCGATATCGGTTAGAGAACCACTCAAAACCAAGGAGTACTTGACAGTCGTCTCATCTTGGTTTGGGATCCATCAGAAGTGTTCACCTCTTTACCACACCTGCAGGTCCTAGGTCCTCGATGAAATCATAAGCGAGCACTGCTGAAAAGTCTTAAACTAGGACTGAACAGCCGCTCACTATGCCATGGTTTTCAGTAGTTCTTTAACTAATATAGGTACGTGACGTAATTTACTTCAATGTTTGTTAATTAAATCTAATGCGTAGTCTAATCTTCTTTGTGCTGTTAAAATTAGTTACACAATCATAATAAGCATAATCCTTTGATTACTGATAATTGTTCTGAAGTTTTTATTACTAAAACTTATCACTTCCTTATTTGAACAAAGCAAGAACTACAGTTTTAGCAAAATAAAATGGCACCACCATTGCTTATTTCGTTGCCTTCTCGTCATCTGCTTACAGGGCAAAGACATTATTAAAAATATCTACAAAAACAATTTTGACATACTTGCACAGAGTTCATTTTAAACAAAAATCAATCGATCAGCATACGCATATGCTAATAATATATACATATATAAATATGCAATATTAAACACTATTCCGAACAATAATAATAATCATACACAATAGAAACTTTTAGCATTTCGCATTTGGAAGAAAGAGAAATGAAAAATATCCAGTTACCAGGGCAAAGAAAGACTGATAACCGCTTCTTTCTGAACGCATAAATCAGGTTTCAGGCGCTTGATGGAAATGGCTTCAGCAAAAGATGTTACCATTTTTTTTCTGCTAAAACTGTAGTTCTTGCTTTGTTCAAATTCATTAAGGGGGAATAAATGTATGAAACTTCCTTATTTATCAGTAACTGAAATGTTCATTACTAAGTTGACAGTCCTCTTCATTAAAGGTGCGCATGGAAATGAAAACTCAAAAATATATATTGACTGTATTTATTTCACCTAACATCCCTCACAAGTTGATCATTGTGTGTATGTCCATTTGATGCAGGGCAGAACTTCTTCTATTTGGAAAATTATTAGGAACTTCTAGAAGTTGAAATGTGCTCAGCTTACACTAAGTTCATCATCTTAAATAGTACAGTTATCTTAGAGATTAGACTGTTACTGAATAGAAAACCTTGGCTGAATGGAAATTTCTTAATTACTATATTTTTCTAAAATAAATGATGTTACTTTGCTACTTTAACTATGACTTGATCATTATTTTACAATTTAAGGTTAAATAAGTTTCGTGGTGAAGGTTTCAGCTGAGTTGGATCTAAATATGTGGAATCTTTTGTCTTCTCTAAGAAATTTGTCTAAACATTTTAACAGATAATGTTGAGACTGTTATTTTTCAACTCTATATGGATCTTATTTAGCCATTTCACAAAACATTTACATTGTGGTGTTGTGATATAGCAATGTGTGCCAACGGAATACGATTCTTACATATTCCTGCAGTTCACTTCGGCAGTAACAACAGAATACTATGTATATTTGAACATTCTATTTCAGGTCGTCTAATGTAAGGCCAAATCATACGCTGAATGATTGGTTAGCGAATATAAACTGTATAAATATAAACAGCGGTTTGATCAATGAAAAATATACCTTGGTTCCAGTGTTTTGCTTTTTGCTGTTACAAAATTATTCAATTAGTATTCTTGTTTTACTTTGAAGAGAACAGTTTCACTGTTAAGCCCCATAAATGAAATTTACACGGTTACATAATAAGTCGAAAAGAAGCAGTATAACTTATGTTCAAATTAAATTTTTATGCAATAGCTTACTAATCCATCTGAACATTTGAGATCATGAATTGACACCTCAATATTTTTCTTCTAAAAACAATAAAAGACAATGGTGGATATCATATAATGGCTTTACTTATATCACTGAAAATGATTTTCACAAATTAAAAAAGAAAATTGAATAAAGAATCAGTCGCTAAGATACCAAAAATTACCCTCTTTCCAAGTTTTTCATCTTAAGGGCCTATTGTGTAAGGTGTGAGAAGTTCCAATACATATTCTCTACAGAAAAAGATATTTGCGGTCCAAATGAGTTTTGATAACTAAAGTCTCATTTTTATCAGACATTTCTAATGGCTTGTATATCACAGTTACACAGGAAGATAAATCCTCACGATTAACTGACTTATTTATCATATGAATCAATTATAAACTGTGTCATACATGCTGAAAATTAGGAAAATTTTAAAAACTATTTTGTGTTTTTAAGTAAATAATCTCACTTTGTCTAAAACGAAAGGTACTTATTTATTTATTATTGAAAAATATGTATGCATATAGTTCCAGCAGTTGAGAAATGCTATATTTGGACTATGTTTATTGCCAGCAGGGTTAAAAGCTTAGTAATAGAGAAGATTTATAACTCAGGTGGATGATTTGCAATTAATAGTGTTCTCTGAGCTGGTTAGTTTAGTTGCGGAGCTTTCGTCGTCTTTTTGGACGACATCTTCAGCGCAGTATTTAGGATAAAGTTAAATGATTTAAGATTCGCGCGCTTTTCGACTATTACGCTACATTTTGCTCATTAATAAAAACTCTTATTACTGTAAAATTTTATGCAAAGAGTTTGCGGAAATTATCACAATTATTAACCTTTCGAACACTGAATCCAAAAAATACAATCTTATTGACAGATAATACACATAACTCACTGTTTGGATTTGTGGAATTTTTAAACATAAACACATCTATAATTGTATATATTGTTGGATTTATATGTTCAAGTTGCTCCAAGTCAGTGAGTTTATGGTTAAGATATCATTTTAGTTAACTGTACTGAACTATATTGCATGTTGTCTTATTGTATAGTTGTCGTCGCTTTTTGCCCTTTTTTCTGTGAACTGTTTCCTTTGTTGATGTTGTTCTCATTGTTTGTCCGTTATTTTCTGATTTTGAGGGGAGCAACCCAAAAAGTTGCTTCTCTCTAAACTTTTACTTAATGTAATCATTCTTTTCTCAGGCGTGAGGCTAGCAACCCCACCCTGTAAACAAAAATTGCTACAGAAACTTCAGTATGATGAACCTCCTTGCACCAAAAGAAAAAGTCTGTGTAGGAACATGGAACGTCCGAACTATGTACGAGACTGGAAAGCTGCCCAGATCGCCAACGAGATGAAAAGATACGGAATACAAGTGCTGGGAATATGTGAGAGCAGATGGAATGGGAGTGGACTCACCAAATTGTCAACAGGTGAGTCAGTGATCTACTCCGGTCACCCAGAAGATAACCACACGCACACCGAGGGCGTGGCTATCATGATGTCACCAACGGCAACGAAAGCCCTGATACAATGGGAGGCGATTTCGTCCAGGATAATGACCGCCAGGTTCAACTCCAAAGGAAGGAAAGTGTCAATCATACAATGTTATGCACCCACAAACAACGCAGACCTCGAGAAGAAAGAAGAATTCTACAGGCAACTACAGGCAACAATGGACAATACTCCAGCTGGCGACATGAAAATACTAATGGGAGACATGAACGCCAAACTGGGACCAGACAATACGGGAAGGGAACTCATCATGGGTAGAGAAGCTCTAGGAGAAATGAATGAAAACGGAGAACTCTTCGCCGACTTCTGCGCCTTCAACGAACTGGTGATTGGTGGCAGTGTATACAAGCACAAAGATATCCACAAGGCTACATGGGTGTCACCAGACGGGCAAACCAAAAACCAAATCGACTTCATCTCAATCTCAAGGAAGTGGAGGCGCAGCCTACTGGACACAAAAGCAAGAAGAGGAGCAGACGTTGGCTCAGACCACTATCTCGTACAAGGGACAATCCAAATCAAATTAAAAGCTTTCAGGGAATCAGGAGCTGCAGATAGACCACAAGCCAAGTTCAACACTCAAAAGCTGAAGGACCAGGCTACAAAGGACATCTTCATTGCAAGCATAAAGGACAAAGCCGAGACACAAATCAACACTAGCGAAGAGGTCGGCGTTGAAAAGCACTGGAACAACTTGAAAACGGTGTGGAGCCAAACCTGCATAGAAATTCTAGGCAGAAAAAAGAGACAGGACAAACAGTGGCTCACTACGGACACTTGGAAACTAATAGAAGAGAGAAGGACAGTGAAGCAAAAGATTATCCAGTGCACTGACGAGCAACAAAAACAGGAGCTGAATGCAAGCTACAATACACTGAACAAAAGAGTGAAGAAAAGTGCCAGGGAAGACAAAAGAAAATATTATGAAACCATGGCAAACGAAGCAGAACAAGCTGCAGGCAAAGGAGACCTCGCCACACTCTACCAAACAACTAGGAACCTTTCGGGCAAACGTTCGACACAGATTAAGCCAATAAAGGACGACAATGGAAAGTCAATCACCAAAGAGGTGGAACAGAGAAAGCACTGGGTTGAACACTTCAAAAGACTTCTAAATCGTCCGCCACCTACAACACGTCCAGCAATACCAACAACGGAAGCAGAACTACCAGTGAACACTGACCCCCCGACGAAATCAGAAGTCCTGAATGCAATCAAGATGCTTAAAACTGGGAAAACACCGGGACCAGATGGAATCCCAGCAGAGGCTTTGAAAATAGACCCAGAGACAACAGCGGACTTGATGACACCACTACTGGAGAAGGTGTGGAAAGAGGGCAAAGTACCCGAGGATTGGAAGAACAGTTACTTATTCAAACTTCCAAAGAAAGGAGACTTAAGTCAATGTAAAAACTGGCGTGGAATTATGCTTCTGTCCATTCCAAGCAAGATACTAAGTCGCATCATCCTGGAGAGAATCAAACAAGCCCTAGATGAAAAACTTCGTCCGGAACAGGCTGGATTCAGGAGAAACAAATCATGTATTGATCAAATCGCCACTCTACGGATCATCATTGAACAAAGCTTGGAATGGCAGTCACCTCTCTATCTCAACTTCATCGACTTTGAAAAGGCCTTCGACAGCGTCGATCGAGAGGTCATTTGGAAACTACTTCGCTACTACGGGGTCCCATCGACAATTATACACCTCATCCAACAGTTATACGACAATGCTGCATGCCAAGTAATCCACAACGGGAAACTTACGGAAGCCTTCGAAGTGAGGACGGGAGTGAGGCAAGGCTGTCTACTATCACCAATGATCTTCCTGATTGCAATTGATTGGATAATGCGACAGACAACGGCAACCAACGAGGGAACAGGCATAAAATGGACTGACACAAAAGACTTGGAGGATCTGGATTTCGCCGATGATATATGTCTGATTTCCCATAAACTGGAAGATATGCAAGTGAAAAGTAACAAGTTGGCAGAAGAAGCATCAAAGATAGGACTTCACGTGAACATAGATAAAACAGAGATGATGAAGATTCCTAGCCAACATCAACAACACCAACAACAGACAACAATAAGCATAAATGGGAAGAACCTGAAAGAAACAACCTCCTTCACCTACCTGGGAAGCATCGTCTCAACTACAGGCGGAACTGACGAGGACATCAAAGCCAGAATCGGAAAAGCAAGACAAGCTTTCATTACTCTCAAATCTGTGTGGAGGTCAACAGCAATCAGCATCAAAAATAAGATCCGGATTTTCAACTCCAATGTGAAGTCAGTGCTACTATACGGATCAGAGACTTGGCGAGTCATAAAGAGCATCTCAAACAAACTTCAAACCTTCATTAACAACTGTCTCCGCTCAATACTCAAGATCAGATGGCCAGAAAAGATCAGCAACAGGGATCTCTGGGAGCGAACCAATCAGGAACCGATTGTGAAACAAATAGGCAGAAAGAAATGGAGATGGATTGGCCATACGCTGAGGAAACCATCAAGTGACATCACTAGACAAGCCCTCGAGTGGAACCCGAAAGGGAGGCGGCGAGTTGGTCGTCCAAGGGTGACTTGGAGGAGGTCATGCGAGGAGGAGATGAAAGCATGTGGACAGACCTGGAGCAGGGTGAAAAAGTTGTCAGAAAACCGAAGTCAATGGAGGTGCGCAGCTGAAGCCCTATGTTCCTCTAGGATACAATAATAATAATAATAATAAATGATTTAAATTTCTTCATGAAGGGAGAAGTGCCATGTAAGCAGCTGACGAGAAGGCAACGAAATAAAAGATGGTACCATTTTATTCTGCTAAAACTGTATTTCTTGCTTTGTTCAAATTCATTAAGGGGAATAAATGTATGAAGTTTTCTATTGACTTGGATTTTAGACTTTCTGGTCACCTGATTTACTTTTTATAAGTTGGTATATTTCGTCTATATAAACGTGTTTGTCAGTTGCATTTTCGTTTAAGTACCAGGCTTCTAGGAATTCCCTGGCATTTTTGGTACTCAAACGAAAATGCAATTAACAGACACGTTTATATAGACGAAATATACCAACTTATAAAAAGTAAATCAGGTGACAAGAAAGTCTAAAATCCAAGTCAATAGAAAACGGTCAATACATATCTAAAGATGGTTAGCGGGAGACGCAATTCTATCACTCATGAAGAAATTTAAATCATTTAACTTTATCCTAAATACTGCGCTGAAGATGTCGTCCAAAAAGACGACGAAAGCTCCGCAACTAAACCAACCAGCTCAGAGAACACTATTAATTGCAAATTAAAATCTTAGTGTTAAAATTATCTAAAAACGTTTTTCAAGTAATCTGTCATCTTAAAGTCGGTATAGTTTCAAGGTAGATTTTGAAAACGACCCAAAGTCATTTAGAGAACCACCGATAGGCGTGTGTTTCTTTCTGTTTTGGAACTTGGAAGCAGTTCGCAACCACGACCCCACCAGCAATGAGACGTAGGACTTTAAGTTTACAAGGCGAGCGCTTGGACTATTTATTGAACTTTTGTTTTTGTTGAAATCTGTGTTTAGCAGTCGTATTTGTTTTGATTTTAATGTGAATTACACAATAAGGTTTGCATTTTTGTTTAGCGAAGAGACTATCAGATGATCTCAGTCGAGGCTCTTCATAGTGAGACAGTTACTCATGCACTCTAGACAATTTATACGGAATACTGATGAGTGCCTAAAACTGATTTTTAACGCAGTTAAATGGAATAGCTTTTATGTGTATCAGGTTATGAGTCAATCCCATCGTGTGAATTCTGAGTTAACTACCTTGTTACTCAGATTGAAAATGGTTAGAGCGAGATTTAGACCTTCAACCTGCTACTTGGAATCAAGAATTGTAGTTACTCAACCACATCTCCAATAGTGTGCTAACAGTTTATTTGTCGATACTGGTATTACTGTACAGTCTAACTGTGATTGCTGAAAGAAAAGTTTATTCTAATTAAGCAAATTCATGATATATAAGATATCACACTTCCGTCTAACTTAACTTATTTAAAAGTCAACCTGAGGGTTGTTCAAAGAACTATAAAACAGCTATATAATAACTAGGATTATTAAAAGCACATGTATTAACAATGGTTTTACCTCTTTTGTCATCTCAGAGATAGAAAGTGGCTCTTATGCAAAGAGAAACTGGAATTACAGCTTGTTTTAGGCACACTCATTACAGTCTTTTACAACATTATGAAGCTGTGTGATTTGCTGCGTTGAAATTATTAGTGCTTTTATAATGTGAATAAGAGAGTTTTCATTAGTGTTTTCTCACCTTTGGTTTATCGGTCATCATTATTATTCCAACTATTTGAATAGCCAATAATATTCCCCCAATTAATAAAAACACATATGGGACACGATTAATTAAGTCGGCATCTTCAAAGCGTCTGTTGTGAAGAATGTGAATGAATAATGATAAAACACAACCACTTGTTAAGCTGATAAAACACGCAATGCATTCATTTTACTGAAGTATCAAGATTATTCGAGATGGAGTCTGATGGAAAATATCAAGACCCTGAAGCTATATTGAGGCAAACGGAACGGTGTCTAATGGGCGAATTTTCGCCTGATATTTCAGTGAAGTGAAAAACTTTACCTTCAGTTAGAATTTATGAATGATGAAGATGGTGGATATCTGTCTGACTATGATTTATTCACTTTCCTAGAAGACTTTCAGAGAAATGCGATAGTTTTCACTGTGGAGTTGCTAACTTCAAGATTTGAATACCTTTGTATCGACGAAATGTTTCTAATTTACATTTTTAGAAAGTGAAGGCTAGTTGGATTTGTGAAATACAGAGGATATCAATGCTAGCACAGAGCTATCAAATTGTGATCAGTTTAACTAACTGATACTGAACTAGTTCTACGTAGTCAAAAGTGGCCAGATTATATATTTTCTTCGGAAAACCAGAATATTCAAAATACAATACACCGAAGTGTTTTCAAGAAAACAACCAAAATTAGAAAAGTATGCTACTGATTGACACATAAACTTAGAAACAACCTAAATAAACCAGTCCAAGATAATCTAAACACCAAATAACTATTTAGCTCATTTGGAAAACATTCAATCAGGGATTTACTCAGATTTATTCAGCTGGGAGAGAAGAATCTGTTTAAAGCAGTACATTCCAGGTTCGTCTAATTATCCAGCCGGAATTCAGGTGGCTAAAGCTATAAATAAGTTTCCTACGGTGACGGCTGTAAGGGTAATCAACTTGAAAATCTTAGCATTATTGAGTTCGAGCTGTTTTTGGAAGATTGGATGAAAAGGTAGGCTGTCTAATTAATGAAAAATTAAATTTTCCTCTTACAGAACAAAATATTTTTTACGAATAATGCGATTTTATGCAATGCATCTGTCATCTTGCTTACTTAGTAACATTATTTATAGGTACATTATTCGGATTAATGTAGATTGTTTGAATCGGTGTAAATATGATCGCTCCAGCACCGAATCCACCAATGATCAGGCCAACAATTAAACCTCTATGGTTTTTGAACCACTATCAAGTTGCGAAAAAAGAAATCCAAGATCTTTAAAGTTGTATACACGACTGGAAAAGATACTAAAATGCGAATGAAATTGAATAGCCTTATTATTTCTGTCTATAAAAGGCTCCCTAATGTTTGCAAAGTGATACAGGAATATACAGTACATTTAACCAGTATAATCGTCTATTAGTAAACCTATACCTGAAGAGATTTCAAATTCAGCAGTGATATATTAAAACAACTTATTTTCAACTACTTGATCTAAAGGAGACAGCTTTGTCATTTTTGAGCAGGCTGAAATTGTTGTTTTCTCTGCCTAAAAATCTTTTTTTAAAAGTTCTCATAGTCATAAATTCTATTCTAATTCAATTTTTCTGAAAGTAGTCTTAAGAATGGATGACTTTCGATTAGTTATTGAAAATGGTGATGATCTGGCAAATGAATCTATATGCACGACAGGGAACATACGGACACATGGACCTACCAAGCCAAGTAAGCATACTTAAACTCACCAACATGAAGTCATCTCAGTAGCGTTTGGAGTGTTGATTCTGTTCACTTTTTAGTCGAATGACAAAAATGTATATCTTTTCTTTTAACCGACAACTTTTTGCTACCCTAAGACATACGCTTGCTTGGTTGTTTCTACATCTTCTTACTCTCTGCAATTGCTTGTGTGCCAATAATAATTCTCAGTGCTTACTTTGGAGTTTACAGAAACTGTCACATCCTCGTCCAAATCATACTCGCCTACTCCTTTGGCAACATCCTGAGTTTAGTGAATTATCAATAAAGCCTACCCATCTGCCGGTCAAACGGATTAAATAATTTAAATTGTAGAAGCTGGACTTAAACCTAATGGCAAGTAACTGTAACTATACGTAACGTATTTACCTTTAAAATATATCATTTGAATATTGTAACTAATTTGAGAATTTTATTTTGATACTTTTGACTGCGTTTAGTGTTTATTTCTCCACAGCTGTCAAGTTGGAAAGAGATGTACAACTTGTTTTCGACTTGTTTACTAAGACATTGAGTAAGCGCATCAGTAAATAATGTATTTCTTCAATATAACAGAGGTTTTATGTTGGGGGATTGACTGAAGACAAAAAAAACGCCTACTGCATTCGACCGAATATCATGTAAAGTTAGATATCTAGACAAGTATTTCAGTGACCTCTGCTAGCTGTTACAGAAAAAACCAGCCTAGATTAAGTTTCTAACATAACATTCATTCACTGTTAACTTATTTAATATTCTAGCTTGTAGATGAAATCAGAAATGTCAAATAATATAGCTTGACCGTACATTTCTGTTTTCTTTTTTCCTATAAGAATTCGTCTGTTTGCTGAAGAAACTAAGGTGCACACCGAAAAAGGTCTAAATAATAAAAAATAATTTTTCCTTCACGTTCCCAGTGGAACATAGGGCTTCAAGCTTGAAGTGGGTTGAAGTTTCTGTAGCAGCGTTTATTTTTACAGGATGTGGTTGCTAGCCTCATGCCCAACCTCTCCTCTTTACCAGCATTATTTCTGGCTTAGCGAGGTAAAAGAGTGCATCTGTGGCCAGGGATCGAACCCCTGACCACGTGCATGGTCGGCGAGCGTCCTAACCTCTGTGCCACCGACGCCAAGAAAGGTCTAGAGAGCAGAAATTGTTATGGCATACCAGTAGTTTCGTACTGACTCTCTCCTTAACATTTCTCATAAACTTCATAAAATTTATCTTCTGAATATTCCAAAGTACGAACACTAAATTAAAACCCTGACTGCTTAACGCCCTTTGAATTCAGGACAATTTTAAATGTCAGTATTTGAACAGTTAGCTAGCATTATTCACTGTGGTGGTATACAGTGTGGTACTCAGCCATTCATAAATTATGTGATAACTACCGTTAGGACACTTATTATAGTGTTTTCGCATAACTTAGCAATAACGACTGATTTTATTCAATGCACTGTATACTAATTTCTGCACCAATCTAAATAACTAACCAAAGTTATGCCGGCTTAGGCTGAACATTTGTTTCTTGAACTGAATTTACGTAAGCCTTTGGCCTTGGATCAATATTCTCAGTGTTCAAGTTGAATAAAATTTTTAGGAAATAAACTTAAACAATGAGATGATTCCTTACCACAGTGTTACATTCCTACCTTCGCTAGTAGTAAATAGTATATTAACATAGGAACTGTGATGCTAGTAGTAGCACTATACATTATTTATCAGCGTAAATCTTTCTCATTTAATGTTTCAGGTGTATCACAAGCAATGTTATATTGACTTTAAAGGTGAACAGTTTGTTACGGTCTATGAATGCATAGTACACCAACTGAACATTTCATGAATAGTAACTTCTGCTCCATTCAACAGTGGTAATCTTTCTGGCTATGACAATTTCTGAGGTGACTGATATTAAGGCTGACTGATTTGAGCACCAATATTTATTAAAGCACAAGAAATTATCATAGTTTTGTTTGAGTATTATAAAAAACAATGAATAAAATTAAAAATCTTCATATTAACAGATGCATATTAAATAAAAAAAAAAAACAGAAATCGTATCCCACTTACAGCAATTGATGCAGCTATGATAGCTGAATAACCGAATCCAAAACCAGCACCTTGTATTATACCATAGGTTATTAGTAATGGAATAAATCCACGACTTAATGTAAAGAAACTAAGGACAACTCCTCCACTGAAATTTCAAAGTATTTTTGAATGCGGTTAAGTTGATCAATTGTTGATCAATGCACAACATTTGCAAGTTCATAGACATCTTTAACTAAGAGCAATCGTTTTTTATATTTTATTTTTGATTTACAGCTTGATTCCACACTGTATTTTTGGTACAAGTATGGAATTTTCAACATGGATATCGGTAGCCCAAATTTTGCAGGCCGACCATAGATATCAGGTGTGCGCTGGCGTGGGCTCGAACCTCGGACCATGTGCATGGTCGGCGAGAGTCCTAACCACTGTGCCACCGACGCACGAATCTGTTGGACTCGAAAAGTTTATACTGAAAATATGTGAATTATCATTTGTATCCGACGTGTTTTCCCTTGAATAACAAATTTATTATCATACTGAATAGCTCAGACAGGCTTAGACTTTTATTTGCCTGAACATTTCCACCCGGTTACTACTAGTGTAAGGTTTTGTACATCCGAAAAGATATTCTTATGCTTTGACACTACACTGTAGTTGACATGTTAAACAACATGGTAAACCGTTAATATAATTAGGGGTTTTCTGATTATGGTAACTGTGGTAGAACTTGTCGTTTACACCTACCTTTTAAGTACAGAGACCCTAACTGATGAAACTCAGTAGTACAGTAAAAACAATAAATATGGATAAGCAAGCCAGTTGAATACTGTTTGATGGCACAGCTATTCTTCAATACAAGGTTAGAAGAATGACGTAATTAATATTTAATAACATTTTAACCATTATCTAAAGACAAATAGGTTTTTCATGAAGTGAATTCCTACTTTTATTAACACGAATTTCCTGACCGATTCTAAATAGAGAAGAAAAACCTAATTAGTTAGATCGTTTTCAGATGATTTTAAAAAAATATGGGGTCTTTTGGCTTTCCATAGATACAGCCGAACAGTTATTGACTGATTAAATTTCACACAGTTTCTCTTAATAAGAGCAATTTTAATTTCCGATGGGTTTTAGCCAGATAAGAAACATTTTTAATTTTCTTTTTATGATTTACATCACCGCATCTTATATGGCTAGACACATTAGACAAAAGCTTACGACGTCAAGCATTGATTCCCTGATGCTAACTTCAGCTTAGCATCAAATATCAAACTTTTAACGTCATTATGGCCTTAGAAAAGCAAATCAAATTGGGAGTTTCAGTGACTACAAATTTCTAGGTGAATTCACTGGAATTCTGAATAAGGAAGTTTACATTATATATTTACATTATGACAGTTATTAAATACAGAGTAAAAGTTTCACTAGCTGAAGTGAACTGAATGCAATTTTAATAAAGCGATTAATAATATAAATAAAATTTATATGAATGCACTTTCATCTCCATCACAGCGGTTGAGCACCATGGCTCAGGTTACCGGTACAAATGCAGACGTAGCTGAAGTTCTCCTTTTTATTACATCTAAACAACTTGATTATCTAAAGCTACCTCAGAAAGTTCATCAGTTCCCGAAATTTCTGTACTGTTGGCATATCTAGCTGTTAAGATACTGAAGATCTATATGCTTAAATCCCCGGAGAGAGATCAATTAATTTTCCTGTTGTGGGAACATAAATATTTTTGTTCAAATCACACCGATACACATAAGAAAGTGACGGTTTACTGAATGCTTTTATGTTGTGCTTGTGGTTATAACGGCATAATTAACAGTGTACGAACCCTGAGAAGCAGTTAAAATTACATTAGGTTGTTTAGTTTATTCACAGTAGCTCATAATTCCTAATATTATCAGCATTACATGTATAAAGGACCGTAAAAATAAACACATTGACTACAAATACATAAGTGCTTTGATTAACCTGTGCATTAAGCAGCTGATTGTTACCACAATTCTGATCCCAAATTTTCGATAAAGAGCACCACCAACTGGCATAGCTAGTGCTTCGAATCCCATTGCAACGGATGTCAACCACATGATAGAGTTATCATAAACTGACATGTTGTAATATTTCAGATAATCCAAAATATATGGTGCCATATTACCTATACACAGGTGAAATAATCACTAAGATCTCTCAATTGATAGACGGTACCAATAGTGTAAAAGTATCCATAAGTGCACTGGATGATAATCCCTCCAATTACACATAAAATAGGTTTCCAATTAGTTGCTCTGGAACACATTGTCATGAGGATCACTGAAAATGTACACACACAGTGATGAATATAAGCCCTTTTATATCGTTTAAAAAGGAAGACAAAATGTCAACATACGATGTTCTTAAATCAATAATGAAACACAATAGACAAGCCAGTTAGAAGCTACAATATGAAGGTCATATGAAAAGGTTACAGAATACCAAAGTTAGACATGTCACCCCTCCTAACTGTTAGTCCTGCATGCAGCCAATGATCAGTAATTCATCTCATAGATGAAACTGATAGTGAAGATATCACATTTCTCATGTCGTATTTCTTTAAATTTCTGAATTGTGTGCTTTATTGTTAAAGTTATACTACAGAAATAGTTTTCTCTGTATAATTAGTGTTTATATTTTACGGAAACATCTTTTTCTTATGATTAGGTAATTATTTATGAAGGTCAGACGGATAACTAGGTAATAAGTCAGACTAGGACTAAACAGTAACTGGGGCTCATATTGAAGGTCTCCTGGATTTACGCTTTCACCTGATTAACATGGTGTGCAGCAACTTGGAGATATTTCGGTAGGCAAATGATGTTACCACTAACAGTTAGTTTCTGTTTCTTCCTGTTTAGAGACTCTTCAACAGTACTCAGCTATAAAATCACCAGAGATAAAATCCAGAACCTTTAGGTTACGAGGTCACATCAGTGACCATTTTAACCACTCTGTCAGTTCGTCATATAGCAATAACAAGGATTAGTGTGCACTGCTGGAAAGCCTCAAACTGGAACGAAACAGCTATTCAGTGCTTTCAGATTTTCAGTGACTTCCTAACTGTTGTTGATTAGAAACGAAATCTACATTGAAATTAATCCAGAGATAGTTGCTAATATCAGTGTGAAAACTTCACACACAGTCTATGAAATACATCTGTTGAGGACAGTTATTTTAATTCGGCTTACTTGTCTTTGCAAAAGTATAATTAATCCAAGGCTACTAGTTTGAATTTCTTAGGAATTCAAAATTTTTTATTTCAAAGTCAGCCATGATATCACTACATCTTGTCTGGCTGTACAGAATAAGACTATATCAGATAGTTTTAATGAGATAGATACAAACATCCATATTAAGCGAAAGTTAAGTAAAGAGGTCATAAATTATGAAAATGAATTTTTATTAACATTCGAATAACAAAGTGCAAAAGCAAAAGGAATAGAGGAATTAAAACGGTTTGACCTAATATCTGAACACAGTATCAAAGAAGAGTAATCAATGATTTTCTTTTATAAAGATTGATATCATAAATTCACAATGAGACCTTTTTCAATATGAATGTGAAACTGACTGCATCATATTCTTCGTCAGTCAGTTAATTTTGTGAGAAAATGAGTGATGGTTGAATTATGTTTCAAATCTTCTGAAACTGAAAAGTGCTGCTCATTCGTACTTAGCCTTCTGAGCTAATTGATGATGCAATTAACGCTGAAAACTGTCTACTTCCACCATGTCAGTGGTCACAATTATGTAACAGCCTTTTGTAGTCTTCACAGTGCCTTTTATTATTACTGTTCCCCTTAGGTTTCCAGTGGAACATAGGGTTTCAACAACACATCTCCACTTTGTTCTGTTTTCTGCCGTCCTATTCAGCTTCGGTTACGGTTGCCTACAGTCTCTCATCTCCTCCTCATCAGATCTCCTCCATGTTACCTTTGTACTGACGGCCCACTCGTCACTTTCAATTAGGATTCCACTCGAGGGCCTGGTGTGCGATGTCGTTCGACGGTCGCCTCAATGTAAGCCCGAACCAACTCCATTTTCTCCTACATATTTGTTGAACGATGACTTCTTGATTGTTTTCTTCCCAAAGTTTCTTGTTTCTTATTCTTTCTGGTCATTTGATCTTGAGTATGGAGCCGATGAAGGCAGTTGCTGATGAAAGTCTGCAAACTGTCTGAAATCCTTTTCGTGACACGCTAGCCAAGTTTCTAACGAGTATAGAAGGACCGACTTGACATTGGTGTTGAAAATCCGAATCTTGTTCCTTATGCTGAGAGTAAAAGATTCCCAAACTGGTTTTAGGTTGTTGTAGGTGTATCTTGCCTTTTTCATATGACTAAATGGGGATTTTCAAGATACTTTACAATTTTGACTGGCTTTGATATCTTCATCTGTTCCGGTCTCCTGTAGTTGAAAACGTGCTTCCTAGATAAGTGAATGAAGTAACCTCCGTCAAAATCGCTCCCGTTGATGGTGCTGGTTGTTGTTGTCGCAGTGTGGTGAGAGCAGGCCGTGAGAAAATATGAGCAAGGCTGATTCAACAACCAATCACAGCAAAGTTAACGTGGCAAAATATGATTCGCAGATAGAGAACTCTATTTGTCGAGGAATCCCGAAACAACCAATCAGAAGCCTGCGTTTGTCTGCCTAACTTCTGATAAACAACCAATCAGATAACTGCGCTTGTCTACTTGCATAAGCTATAATAATGTATGTGAAATGTGTATAAATACGTGTTGATTTTCATAATAAAAGGATCTGTTGCTTCGCCCTTGTCTTCTGTTGTTACAGCAGTTCGTTGGTTAGGCATCTCCATCACCTCCGTCTTCTCTGTGTTTACCTGCAGTCCTGTCTTCTCTGTCACTTTCTTCAGCCAGTCTGTTGCCAGTTTTCGCCTGTCTCTAAGTCTTTCAATTTGTGTGAAATTAGGCATATATCATCTGCGATATCCAGATCTTCTAGAGTATTCTTATCAGTGGTCCAGCGTATTCCTGTCTACTAGCTCTCCACAGTCTCACGCATCACAGTGCGCTTAAGGATTTGTTTTTTGTTTTTATGTATATTAGGCCACTTCCCACTTGGCGCTCAATTGTTCTGCAACTATCCGGTCAAATCTTGATCACAGTTCACATAAATATGTTAGGCTACTTTAAAAATGTTATGTTCATATGAAGTTTTAAGCGGTGATGATAAATGCTGACAGGCATAGCATCCAAAAATCAACACTATGTAATGTTCAATTTCAATTTTTTGTAAACAAATACAACACCGATTGCTCTGCAGTCAGGCAGTTATGTGATTACTTATGAAAACAAGTCCGCAATATCAACTGTTAAACCAGTAAGTTATAACCATTGGTTTTTGAATGAATGACTAACACCATGGAGTGGATTCTTCACTATAATCTCAGTTGTAGCCTAATAATCTGTTCATGCTTTGCAAAGCCTAACAATACATACCAAAAATTTGAACAAAACCAACAAGTTGGCTAAATTATCCTACTCTTCAAAATACTGTCTTCACTTTTGCTCAAGCTAAGTCTCTCAACCAGTAATCACCTCTTGGTAATGTTCTTGCATGTTTTATAGGGAGAGACCAAACTATCTGATTCATACGACTCCTTTATCAATTCCAAAAGTATAGTATTAGACTGATAAAGTAGATGATGAATAACTATCAATATTAAAAAATAAAGAGCATCTAACCCGAAAAATTCATATAATTACAGGTTGAAAAGCCAAAATAAGTTGATTTGGATTGAATTGATGGAATGCTACAAAGTTAATCAGGAAAATAATCGGAAATAATGCTCATTGATGCACACCCTTGAATTCTGAATATATAATTCTTCGGGAATATAAAGTAAACGTTTTCGGATATTCTCTTGACAATTTAATTTTATCTTTTTAAATGTAGAAAGTATTTGTTCTGGAACTCATAAATGTAGTCCTCTTGATAGATTTCTATAAAAGAAAAATTCAGCGAAGAGAATTTTCCTTATCAATGAAATCATCTTCACAGGCTGTATAGTAGTATTTATATTTACAAAAAATGTGTAAAGGTCTATTACTGAGCTATAGGGGGTGACATATTTCATATAATTACTCAGAAGTGGTTTTAGAAGTAAAAAATAAAAGTTGTAAATTACATGGTACCCAACGGCACAAAGTTAGAAATTTGATAAGGTTAAAATTGCTATTTATTGAGAATAAAGGTAGTTCAGTGTCAATTTAACAAATGTGAAGAGGAACATATGAAAATGATAATATGAGAGTGATTATTAAAGCAAAAGCAAACTAAGAGTAAAATTAAAAATTAAAAAAAGAAAAGAAAAAATCAAAATGTTTTATAGGGAACGACTAGTGAAGAGGTTAAGACCAAGGTAGAATAAGAAACTGGAGAAACGTTTTCTGTAAACAGAGTTCGGGGATATATTGACGAACTGCCAGCGCCTCTGCCATACACAAAGGCGAAACCTGACGGCCTTTGTACTATTTGGCCTCACCTTGTAGATGATCTTGAAAGATGACACTGATGGAGCTACGTGGCCTGAGTTCACTAAGTGCTCGAGAATTGAGCTAGTAATTGTCTTGCATAGTCCTTTTGCTGACCATGGCTGATAATGTTCAGAGATGCGTTTGGAAAGCATGCGCTTTGTGCGGACAATATAACTAGCTCCACAGGGGCAGGTGAATTTATAAACACACATTGAAGTGCCTCAAAGTGGCAGTTTATCCCTAACACATCCATTGATCATTTGTCTGTTGTAAAAATTGATACGTAACTCAGCCGTAAAATTTTATACGTCATGTTTGATGAAAAAAAATTTTCAAAAGAAAGTAGCCAGAAAAACCAAAGGGAACAAAGTGAAGGAAAGATAACACAAATGCTGAAGAAGATGAAAAACGAATCGGTTATCAGCTCTGAATTATTTGAGCAAATATTACCCTCAGGTTCTGTGATTCCCCATTTATATGGTCTGCCGAAAGTGCACTAAGAGAACATGCCAACACGTCCAGTCTTGGATATGACAGATTTCTCATGTCATGCTACTGCCAAATGGCACAGAGACATCCTCCTACCTATCAGATATAATCTCTGTCAGCACAGTGTTTCTGAATCATTTGAGTTAGTCAGTTCAGTAGGTGATGCTAATGTATCCGGTAAGAAAATGATGTCCACGGATGTTACTTCCCTTTTCACCAATGTGCCCCTCACTGAAAATTTTGCTTTATATTCAAATTCATTAAGGATAATAATGTAGACGTGTGTGTTCCAATCCATTTTCTTCGCTGAATTTGTCTCCTTTTTGATTACTCAAGGGGTATTTTTGCAGATTTCTATAAATCAGGAATGATCGCATTTGCATTATAGAAGAATATCACTTGATTTGTAGCAGTGAAACTTTTTATTCCAACTTATGCATTCAGACAGGGGGAGTGTGTGTTTATGATGAACCTCTCACTTACTCGGTATCTATACACTGATTATGATTGTGTTGATTTCATCCTAGTGAGCTAATTCCAGTCCAGTAAACTATGATCTTCCTGAATGGTTATGTAACCATATAAGGTGGCATCGTTTGAGGGTTTGTGTTCTTTGTCTGGTCCTTCGCCCAGTTTTCTAGTGTGCAGTGCATATAAACTGATAATGAACTGAACTGAAAATTATAATGCCTATATTTCGGATGCCTTAATTTGTAATTTTCCTGCTTCTATTGTTTCAACAGTGATGTTATTTACACTATTTCATAACCATCATAACTTCATGTACCCAGTACAGCTGCTGAATGCCTGTGAAATAAAATGTGACATGACTATTTTTGCGTTATCAACTAACTAATTTAAGGTAAAACTGTAGATCAATTTACATTTTCCTCAGGTAAACCATAACGAGAAACTACAGTGTCGGTCTAGGACACATTGTCGTAGGGCAAATCAGTATAAGATGGATTGCTAAGTGCATTTCAATGTTAGTTTTTCCTTATTCATCACTGGCATGAACCTACTTTATCTAGTACTCAATTCCCAGGGCGTTGATTAGACTGTTGTTAGTGCTCCTAGTTATCAGTCGAGGCATATTATTCACTCAGGTATTTTGAAGCAAGAAATAATTCAATATATTCATTCATTCACTATTTTAGAAGTACAACTAAGAAAGTGCTACATCTGAAAGTTTTTCAGTAAAAGTAAGATAAACTATACTGGTGACATTTGATAACAGAATAAATTAAATATTTGTTTACTGTCATAGAGTCCTTCTTGGTTTGGTCAGCACATAGAATAAAGTAAATAGGCTGTCTCTAATGGACTATAAAACGGATCAACACTTATACAGAATGTATATCTTTTGTCTCAGTAGCAGTTCAATGAATTCAAGCTATCCACTAACACCTGCAAAACTAATCTAATAAAAATATGTACCTACTGAATAAATGTTCACACCAGTATCAGTAATGAAGATGAATGCGGAGACATTATACAGCATATATTTTAGAAGGAAAATGATCTAACAAGAAATTCGTTCATTACGGCAAAATCCAAAGCATTCACTATGCTTGCAGAACAGCTGTTTCACTTACTTGTAGAAACATATCAGTGACTACCGATATAAAACTCTCTGATGTTAACGTTAAAATTTCAACTCCTTTATTTCACTAAAATTTCCATACACTTTCTTGCAACCTAAAATCTAGCTGTAGCTGTTGCGTCCTAGTAAACAGGTAACATGGACAACTTCATTCATTTCGTTTGTTGGTTCATCATTAATGTACTGATTACGCTTCCTTTGATCTTTCCATCTAGTCTCTGATGATTTTCTTTACAATAAAAGGATATTCCATCCTTGAATTTCATTATTATGTCTGTTTGTTGCTTGAGTTTGTCCACATAAAGAACGTTTACAAACACTTGTTACCCAGTTCCAAAACCACCTGGTTTTCAATACACTAATATTATTTTTCAGTCTTTGAAGTTACACTGTGCTTGTACTTTCTGTCTGTAGTGCTCTCATTATCCCACCAACCACTGATTATAACTTACCCCTTGAGACCCACATATCTGTTACTAATAAGTTCACAAACACCTCATAGACTTTGAAAAGGCCTTCGGCAGCGTCGATCAAGAGGTCATTTGGAAACTACTTCGCTACTACGGGGTGCCATCGACAATTATACATCTCATCCAACAGATATACGACAATGCTGCATGCCAAGTAATCCACAACGAGAAACTTACGGAAGCCTTCGAAGTGAGGACGGGAGTGAGGCAAGGCTGTCTATTATCGCCAATGATCTTCCTGATTGCAGTAGACTGGATAATGCGACAGACAACGGCAAATGAGGAAACAGGCATAAAATGGACTCACACAAACAACTTGGAGGATCTGGACTTCGCTGGTGATATGTGTCTAATTTTCCACAAACTGGAAGATATGCAAGTCAAAAGCAACAAGCTGGCAGAACAAGCATCCAGAGAAGATAGGACTTCAGGTGAAAATAGAGAAAACAGAGGTGATGCAGATCCCTGGCCAACACCAACAGCCACAGCAACAACAACAGATAACAATCAGCCAGGATGAATGGGAGGAACCTGAAAGAAACTAACTCCTTTACCTACCCAGCTACCTGGGAAGCGTCGTTCCAACTACAGGCCGACGGAACTGACGAGGATATCAAAGCCAGAATCGGAAAAGCAAGACAAGCTTTCATTACTCTCACCAAGTCTGTGTGGAGGTCAACAGCAATCAGCATCAAAAATAAGATCGGGATTTTCAACTCCAATTTGAAGTCAGTGTTACTTTCTATGAGGGTCAGAGACTTGGCCAGCGCGTCATAAAGAGCACCTCAAACAAACTACAGACCTTCATTAACAGTTGTCTTCGCTCAATACTGAAGATCAGATGGCCAGAAAAGATCAGAAACAGGGGTCTCTGGAAATGAGCGAACCAACCAGGAACCAATTGTGAAACAAATAGGCAGGAAGAAATGGAGATGGATTGGCTGGCCATACGCTGAGGAAACCATCAAGTGAGTGGCATCACTAGACAAGCCATTGCTCGAGTGGAACCTCAAAAGGGAAGCAGCGAGTTGGTCGTCAATGTGAAGGTGACTTGGATGAGGTCATGTGAAGAGGAGATGAAAGCATATGGGCAGACTTGGAGCGGAGTGAAAAAGTTGGCAGAAAACCGAAGGCAATGCAGACGTGAAGCTGAAGCCCTATGTTCCTCTAGGAATTAAAGGGTATAATAATAAATAATAATATTATCGCCAAAGCAGATAGTACGAAATTTGAAGTATCAAATGTTTACATTTTATTTCAAGGATTATATTCAAATACGGATAGTCTAATATATAAAAGGTATTAACAAAATAAGAATATTCATTTTTTAATTCTTCTAACAGAGATTTGACATAATGAAGACCAGGCGCTGAAATGTGATGGTATAATCAGTTACAAATAACATGAAAAGGAAGTAGGTGTTTATCACAAGTATGGAAGAATATTCGAGAGGTTTTGGTAGTTGGCTTAAGAGCACAAACATTAACTGACTAGCACCATACAGGGATAAAAGACTTGATAATTGTATACATATAAAGAGATTTATAAGTGATTTGAAGGTGACTTAAGCCAGAAACTATGATAAATAACTACTATCTTTTTGTGTTATTTGTAAGTTTTTTCTTCCATCACACCTCTGTTAATAGAATAATACATGGATATTTTTATTTCGTTAATCCTCTGTATAGCTGAATAGAAGCATTGAAACAAAATGTACACACTTAATACTTTAAAGAGTTTGTTTGTAGGGTTTTGATTTGTTTCGCCAAAGACAATGGTTGATGGCAGCGCTAAAATCACAAACTAGTAGAAGTCAGAATTCATAGGCTTTTGTGTTGGATTAGAGTGGCTGAACAGTCCACAAGCTTGCCTTGTAACCATAACGGCCTGGTTCAAGACAAAGCTGGCGTGTAACCACCAATGAGTCCCAAACTAGGATGAAGCAGCTGCACAGTACTGGCTGATTTTCAATGTTTCACTAGCCGATATCAATCCATGACACGTTTAATACCTCAGATCTTGTTCTTCTTTCTTTGAGAAAAATGATCAGGGAAAATGTACAAGATTTTAGACAACCATGTCATCTAATCAGTTTGTTTAATTTCACTAGTTTCTCCAAGTTCTACATTTATTCAAATTGATTACCAACTTCTTTTTTCAAATTCAAATGTATGCGATTTTATCCACTGTAATGTTTTTAATATAACTAGCGTTTGGCCTTTACTTGAATAATGTAGGACATTATTAGTGGGTCTTCAGATATAGAACATGAATAAATTAACAAAAAAACAACTGCCGACTTAATTATTTCTTATTTGATTGTGCGTATCAGCTTTTCAAATTTCCACTTTTATATTTTTTCCAAACATTCACTGCAATTATAAAATATAGTACAACTGAGGAATTTTTTTAAAATACACGTTTTCTATTTCATTTTCAACTGATTTTAAAATTTTATTTAGTTTATAGTAGATATGAAAGTTTGTTAGATTTATAATAATAATAATAATAATAATTTATTATGCATCCTGTTTGAATATGTCAAACAAATCAGAGAAGAAAATTCATTTCTGTTTTAGATAGTTGAAATCCTTTCTTAACTATGAGTTGAGCACTGGTCACATATTTCAAGAAAATCAACTAAGCAATTTGAACCAACTGTGACTGGTTGATCTGGTTGCTCACCTGCTACTGTGATACGTAGTCTACCTTGACCAGGGATCATTGACTTATTCTTAATGGACCACACATAAAATTGTTCTGGCGATAAGTAAAACTGCAGACGTTGTTTTTCACCAACATTCAGTCTAACACGTTTAAAACCAGCCAGCTGAATTTCAGGTGACATATATTCCTGTTTATTTTCATCGTCCAAGTAAGGCTGTCCAAAATGAAGCCACTTTATGTAAAGCTAAATTGTAATTTACAAAAAACAGATTAAAAGCGTACAAATATAGTAATTGTAACATATACATTAATTCGTCCTCCATCAGTAATATTTAAGACAAACGCTGTGCTACCTAGCCGTTTAATAATAATAATAATAATGAAAATAGTTCATTTCTGTTTGTAATATGCATAATGCCAAAACGATGTGGATAAGTGAGCTGTATGTCTTTGGATCAGAGAAAGAGCTTCGTAACCACGTTTTTGTCAGAATATCTCCAGATGTAACAATACTGCTTATGAATCTGTCTGTCTGTTTTCGACATAGAACTTTGCACAAATGTGCGGAAGTTCAAGTCACCACATTCCGTGTAGCACGCGAAGCAAGAGGAGAAAGTACAAGAAAAGCATAATAGAAACAGTGAGCAGAGGTGTGAGACAAAGGAGTAATAAAGAAATACAAAACAGTTTCATTGAAGATCATAAGTCACAGGGAGTGGATGCATCTGCGCCACTGAGAACGGTTTTGAGCCATATCACCAATTGTTTCCAACCATTGATTTTTACCGTCCCGAGGACCCCAGCCTGGAAGTCTACACCTTCCTACGTGACTGGCTTAGACCAACTGTTGTGGATTTCATTGACTGGTGCCAAGTTTTTGTTTGACCGCCGCTAGCTTTTTTCCAGCCTGACCCTATATCAGCTAACGTTGCTCGTCGAGGAAGGTGATAACTAGGTATACGTAACACATGTCCTAACCGTCTCAGTCTTTGTAACTTCACAACTTCGTCAAGTGATTTCCCCTGTTTACCTAGAACTCGACGCCTAACCTCAATTTTGCTCACCTTATTATGCCACTTCACACGGGGGATAGAACGCGGGCATTTATGATCAAAGACAGCTGCTTATGAATAGCCTGAGAAGTGCTAAGAGAAGCACATTTTGTGATGACATCTTGATAAAATGAGTGTTTTTAGTAAAGATTTATTCAAAGAGCTGAAAGAATTCTTTCAAGAACTATATCCATCAGAAGATCAGTCGGTAAATATATAAGAATTATAGCGTCATTGTCTACACTAGCACTGGGAATCTGTACAACAGTGAAAACATGCTTTAGTATTAAGCCGCATCTAATGTATGAGGTATCTTTATTTTCTCACTACGTAAGAATATAGCACTTAAGAAACTAATTATTAGCATTATCTAATAGCTAACATCTAACATACGATATACTGTGAAAAAAATGGTGAATATTCTTTATGATTAAAATATAACTAGAATCTAAATACAGCGTCATGGACTTCAGTAACGTCAGTTATCATCGTTTGTGTAAGCTCACTTCATGAGAAAGATTAACATAGAGGAAATTTGTAGTTTCATCTGGGTAGCCAGTTACAGTATACTATCAAAAGCCCCAGTCATCCTCTCGTAGCTTATGTAATAAAGTGAAATTCTCTACATTTAAGGGTAATAAGGAAAAATGTTGTCAGATTTTAAGTACTCTAAGAGCTCAGATACCTGATGAAGAATAAATGTGACTTAAAAATCTCCATTAAGTCTTACAAACTGTGAGGTTTTCAGTGAAGAGTTACTCTTCTCAGTGATATCATTTTCTCGATGAAAATTTCATTTACCTGTTCCTGCTGAGCAGGCAGTAATCAGAGCTTGTTATTTTAATATAGTATAGAACACTCAGTGTCATAGTATTAAAGAGGACGAAAGATTCCATGTGGCTCTGTTCTGGCACATCTGATCGATTCTAGACATCAAGAAAACTCATAAACCAGCTGCAGAATAATCTACAGAGTAAGGGGAAATAGTGTCAAAGGCAGATTGTTGAATTTATATCAATTCCATGTTAAATCCTGAACTCTGCGTACAAGATACTTTTCTTCATTCGCCGGACTTAGAATGGATATGATATGACAAACCATCTTGTGAGTAATTTTTAAAGTGTATTTTACGTTTTCCCACTACTATACTTCCGCTTTTTACCACGCTGATTTTGGCTTGATCTCTTTAATATTTCATTGAACTCTACTTAGTCATCCATCGGTCAATATACCAAATTTTGCTTTAATATCTACCAGATTATTGTTTCTGTACTGTTGTTTAAAACTTAAATTTCAATGATATTCTTTCATCTGCTGCTATGATAAATGCATCAACTATATGAGATTTTACAGTGTGAAAATCATAGCAGTGGAATGAGTAACTCTTAGCTAAATGCTTCTTTGTTTAAGTGAATTGGAAACCAGAGACATTCGCAAATATGAAAGCTTTCCCAAACAGGCAACAAGGTTCAAAGAATGCCAAATATTGGTTACTGTGAGAATAGAAAGAAACTGACTTTAAGCTTTCCTACAAACTAGACACCCAGCCGATTCCGATTTTTGCATAGGGAAGAAATATTTATCGAAATGGAAAATTAGACATCGGATATATATATATATATATATATATATATATAATTACTGAATGAAACAGATATCTGTCAAGGAAAATTTGGAAATAGTTTGGAATTCAAGAACCGAATCGATCTAGGAATTTTGAGACCGGTTGTGTCATTGCATAAATATCTCCACCAGATAGTGTTGCTTCACAGATTATTGAATCAGTTATCTTTATAAGACCTTCATTTAAGGCTAGCGCTAGTGAAAACCTGTTGGTAGTATAGTCTTATCACACCTTTTTTGCAAAGGAGTGAGAATGTGGCAAATCACTGTCCAGATCTTTAACAAATGAAAATTGAGTTGTGAGTCATAATTTAAACAACCTTAAGCACTTGAAAAAACTGTGAAATTTCATTGCCTAATTAGTTCTTTGACATTTAAGGAGTTTCTACGATTATGTAAACTTACCTGGACCACCTCTTCGCACGCAATCTGTCCTATGTTTGATACAGTGGCATAAATAACGACAGGTTGATCCGGTTTTACTTGTATCGTTGGTAGTTCTAAATTCGAATACTTGAATCCACTAACTGAGGAAGATAACGTATTATACGACAATCCATAACCGAATGGAAATATTATGGGTATTGGACATTCTTTTGTGTACTTTGTGCAAGATTTCGGCAAATAACGGTACGTTTGGTTAGTCATTTTGTATACAGTGATATTAGCTAATCTGTCAATTGATGCATACCATGTGAATGGTAGTCTAGCTGCTGGTACCCACCAGTAACCATCATCCATATCTGTACCCCACGCGCCAACTTCAGATAATTCTGAGTCGAAAGGTAACAATGGCCCGTACGGTCCATATGGTCTGCCAGGTTTTCCCACGAAAACGCGAGCTACGACTTCACCAAGTACTGAATTCATATACCCACACCAGAATATAGCTTTAACCTTAAAAAGTAAAATGAGCCAATGTTTAGCAGCATTAAATCAAAAGTTAGGTCTCAATTGTAACATGCTAATCTTTCGGTGTCCTCAAGAAATTCGCTTATGAATGCAGTACAAACACTTTAAATGCTACCACTGTACTGCATCATAATATTTTTTCCTCTCTAGACAAAGGTTCGAAGTTCGTTAGACATGCATTTTTTATTATACACTGCTGCTTTTGATCCTATTCCCTGGGCACTTCTGCTAAGCAAGCTGACTTCAGCAGGCACTTAGCCCTGGGTTACAAGGTGGTTGTCCTCCTGCTTTTCACGGAAGCGCTCAACTTTGCTTATGAAGCTGGTACGTCTCACTCAAGGTGTTGTACTTTCCCATTTCTATTTGCATGACTTACCGTCTTCTTTTAAGGCCAGTTTCATTAAATATGATGATCTGTCAATGTCTTTCTTGGTTGTTTCTACATTAGACTATTATGATATTAACAGTTTCCTATCTGTGACTAATCAACTGTTTTATTCAAATAATCTTAAAGGAAACCTCTCTGATTGCCAGACTGTTAATTTTAGTAACAGATATGAACGAAATTTTCATGTACTGATCCAGTCATGTGATTCGTGTAATATTGACGGCCCCGTGGTAGGAAATAAATGGAATATTATGTTTCTCGGTATCAGTTTCTCCTTGAATCTTTTTTGGTTATTTCATGTTTTGGTGACTTGTAAGAAAATTTTTCCTTCCAATTATTACATAAGGAAGTTGAAACTTTATGACATAACCCAACCTCTTCTGTTACAATTTATTAATTCATTTATTCTACAAGTTTTTCGTTATTATTCCACCTTATTTTTTTCCTGGGCTTCTTAAAAAGGACTATTTAATATTACGCAGGATTTTGAAGATTATAAGAAGAGTTAGTGGCGTGCCTTTGACCCAACTAACTGACACTTTTATTCATAGTCACCTTAAGTCTTGAAAGCAATCGACTAAGGTCATCATACCTGATATCGAACGTCCCCTTCATTGAAAATTTTTTCCTTGTATCTGTTCGGATAAATTCAGAAGAAACTTAATAGAGATGTATACTCTTGCAGAAAAATATAAAAATTCAACTATGCCATATTTAGCACAGATTTTGCGTAAAGAGACTAATGTCAGAAAAGAGCGTAGATAGACAACTAATTAGAACCAGCATCATTTGTTTCTGCATGTATTACTTTCCCGTCGACTTTATTTCCTTTCAGGATTTAATTTTTAATGTTTCATTTATGTACTTGTTTATTTGCAAATGGAGATAAATTGTTGTGGCGTGTATAACGATGAAATTTCGATTGTGTATGAATATAATTTCCCGGAATAAAGTGATTGTTGTTATTGTATGAGATGTTTTGTGTCGAAAACCAAAAATGTCAAATTTTCGGTCGGAATGTATCAAGTGTCGTAAAATCCAAGGTCATTTAGGACTTTTAACAATTATAAGATTACCTATAAAAGTTATACTTTTCACTGATAGCTCATAATGGTTGCAATTAAGTTTCTAGTTTGCCAGTTAGAAATGGCCTTATTAACATGAAGAAGAGAAACATTTTACTGAATACAACTGGCTGCACATTTAAAGATTACAAACTACATAGTTTTTACAGGATTTCATCATGAGCTGACATTAGTTAGAGAACCATTGGAAAACCTGGGAGTACTGAACAGCTGTTTCGTCCTAGTTTGGGACTCTTCAGCTGAATATCGATGGGTGAGTACTGCTGAAGAATCCCAAACTAGGATGAAACAGCTGTCTAGTACTCCCAGATTTTCCAATGGTTCTCTAACTAATGTCAGCTCATGATGAAATCCTGTAAACCAATCAAATCCCTACAAAGCAACACTTGAATACATAGTTTTTACTAATTCACTTCTTTTTTTGATTACAGCTTGATTCCACACCGTAGTTTTTGGTAGAGATGTGGAATTTCCAGCATGTGATACCGGCAGCCCAAAGTTTGCAAGCCGACCGTAGATATCAGGTGTGCGTCGGCAGCGGATCGAACCCCGGACCATGAGCATGATAGGCGAGAGTCATAACCTCTGTGTCTAAGCGTCGAATTACAGAGTTTAAGATGACAGCCCCGGGATCTTTTTGGTTGATATTAAAATGGTGTGTCTGCAATTTCGGAAAATCTTTCGTTCACACTAAGATTTGAATCATGAATCTAAAGAGGTTAAGACAGATTTGCCACTGAATAACCAATTTGCTTCCATTGTTTGCGATTCTATAGGAAGTTTTTCATTCAAATCTTCTATTTTCACCTATTGTATTTCTCAAACAAATGAGGCGAACTGATCAGCTGAACTCCAAAACAAATCCATAAATTCTGTGTTTACAACATTCTCCCTAAGTAATAATTACACGAAGTTCTGTTTAGTGTTGATGTGTATGTCACATTAGTCACAAACTATTGATCATCTGCGTAACATCTTTGCCATCATGTGAAGTATACTTGTGATGCTAAGGTTTTACATTGTATAAATAGTCGCCGGTAATCAAAGAATATTTGTTTTAGATTTTCTAAGGTGAATAACGTCAGGCTCAATCGTAGACAAACTTTTCCAACAAGATGATGAGACAGCCTGTCAGATTTTTCGTCTCTCAGTAAGTGTTCACCAAGGCATTTTATTCGGTAGCTGAAACGTACCACTGCTCACTTCATTCTTCAGTCAGATAATTAGAAAAAGACAAGTGAAAAATGCGAAAGAAACTATCTTGGGGTAACCTGTTCCTAATGAAACCCTTAAGCCCAGCCCTATTCTAAATATCCTCTTGGTTTTGCAGTGGCAAGACGTTGTATCATTTAACCAAACGCTTGCGAAGTTATTATTTCTTATTATTCCGTTAACTATCTCTTATTAAGTCAATTTCTATTAATCCAGAAACATAATTTTTCATAAAAATATAAACACGCTCACGTTAGTATCCTCCATGGCGAATTCAATGTCAATAGGTCCAGATGAAAATACCAACACAATTACTGGTATAGACAAACGCCTTATTATCCCTCGACCAGCCGATAAATCCAATGCATTTAGGAGGAACTGCTTCTGATATCCAGGTAGATTGAGATCATGTCTATCATGTCCTTCATCTTCAACATTCCTCCCCGTACCGATCGTTATAACGACGAGATCAATATCTGGTTGTAAGAGTATTTCTTGAAGTGCTACTTTATCATAGGTAGGACATTTTGCACCATCAGTACAAATATCTGAAGCCGTGACATTATCGGCTATGGTTTCAAGACCTTTTGAGAAGTAGCAATAATGTAATAATTAGTTTTGATGATAAAACTAGTCAGTAAGAGTAGCGGAACACTGAAACATTTTGATGCATTTTATCTTACACTTCTACTACTAATAAGCGTTAATACCAGCAGTAATACTCACATAGTAAAGTACAACTCTTTATTATTTGTATGGAATACAAAAACAATTTTCTTAAGAAAAACATTTGGACAATGGTAAATTAACACAAATAAGTTTAAATCATGTAATAATGTCAGTACAAGCTAAATGTTAGTTTTTTGAACTTCGACTTCAATTTACATAATTTGTAACGATATAAACCTTTTTATCGTTTACACTGGTGACATGGAGGATTGACAAATCTTTGTAATCTAGTGACGAAATGTAGACATGAGTCGATGAATTTTCATATAGCCCTATTATTATTATTATTATTATCATATCCTTTAATTCCTAGAGGAACATAGGGCTTCAGCTTCACGTCTGCATTGCCTTCGGTTTTCTGCCAACTTTTTCACTCCGCTCCAAGTCTGCCCATATGCTTTCATCTCCTCTTCACATGACCTCATCCAAGTCACCTTCACATTGACGACCAACTCGCTGCTTCCCTTTCGGGTTCCACTCGAGCAATGGCTTGTCTAGTGATGCCACTCACTTGATGGTTTCCTCAGAGTATCACCACAATCCAATCCATCTCCATTTCTTCCTGCCTATTTGTTTCACAGTCAGTTCCTGCTGGGTTGGTTCGCTCAGTGCCAGAAACCCCTGTTTCTGATCTTTTCTGGCCGACCATCTGATCTTGAGTATTCAGCAAAGACAACTGTTAACGAAGGTCTGAAGTTTGTTTGAGATGCTGTTTATGACGCGCTGGCCAAGTCTCTGATCCGCGTAGAAAGTAGCACTGACTTCAAATTGGAGTTGAAAATCCCAATCTTATTTTTGATGGTGAGTGCTGTTGACCTCCACACAGACTTGGTGAGAGTAATAAAAGCTTGTCTTGCTTTTCCGATTCTGGCTTTGATATCCTCGTCAGTTCCGTCGGCCTGTAGTTGGAACGACGCTTCCCAGGTAGCTGGGTGTTTAAAGGAGTTTGTTTCTTTCAGGTTCCTCCCATTCATCCTGGCTGATTGTTGTCTGTTGTTGTTGTTGCTGTGGCTGTTGGCGTTGGCCAGGGATCTTCATCACCTCTGTTTTCTCTATTTTCACCTGAAGTCCTATCTTCTCTGGATGCTTGTTCTGCCAGCTTGTTGCTTTTGACTTGCATATCTTCCAGTTTATGGAAAATTAGACACATATCATCAGCGAAGTCCAGATCCTGCAAGTTGTTTGTGTGAATCCATTATAAACATTTAAACATTTTATTACTTTTTGTAAAACCTTTCTAATAATACCATGTAAAGTAAATCATTTGAAATCATTCTTCTGACTTCAGAATGTGCTATTTGGCGACGGAAAGCTGGATGTTGTCAGAAAAGTGAAACATAGATTCCCTATATATTTGTTATACTTATATAGTAATTTCCTATCCTGCGAAAAATTTGATTACTGATGGCAAAACTGCTTAATGCTTAGATTACACACATACATACATACAAACATACATACACACATACATACACACATACATACATACATATATACTCCTTCCCCTCCTGGAAGTCTCCTTTTCTTCCTCTTGTAATCCAGTTTACTTTGCTTTCTATATATGAAAACTCACCCTTGAACAAAACGTTATTTTGTCTGTTTTGCTTGTCACTGTAATCAAGATTCTCACTTTCTTTTACTGATCTAGACGTCACAACTTATTAATCTTAGATTTACAATAAATAGTTTAAGTATTACTTTTGAAATCTAAGATTCCGAATCAGATACAAAGGAGGAAAATTAATCTTTAATTAGAGAAACAGGGGACTGACATACCATTCATATTATTTGCCTACCTTTATCCAGTGGAATTGTATTTACTGGGTCAGGATGACTTCCATAACTTCCAGTTAATTCATTAACACTTGTTGAAAACGGTCCAAGCAAAGCAATATGTTTTAAAGGGTGTTCATTTAAATTTGAAGTAGATTTTAGCGGTAAGAAACTTTCTATATTTTTCAAAAGTACCATAGTTCTTGCTGCTGTGACTACTGCTAGATGTCTATGTTTTGCATTTTTAATCACCTGGATGAAGAAAAAAATCTTAAGTTATCCTTCGCGATTTAACAGAGGTTTTATGGAACTGTGGGAAATAAAATGTAGTGTTGTAAGCATGAATACTAAAGATCAAACACAGATTAAATTTATGTAGCTCATTGTGTATGGTTGAAATTATAAGAAACTGAGAACATTTCGTACATTTAATGCCAGTGTCATAGGAAAATGTTTTAAGAAAATAATATTACCTGAATGTTGTTCTCTGAGTCGAATTCAGTTTACTGGTGTGCATTGGTAAATAACCAAAAAACGAAGTTACATGACATTTTTTAATATTATCATGAATGAAATGTCCAACTCTACTCAGTAACTACATCAAATGTCTTTTAGAATAGGCTGTAGCGACAATGAGATTCATATTTATTCATGAAAGAAACCACTGTTTCTCATGGAGATGAACACAAGTTCAGTTCTTTTTTGAGGCTTTATTTCGGAATGCTGTCAGTTATACAATTTTAATTAATTATTCCGCTTACTGTTAACTCTTTCATTGTGAATGTAACGCATCCATTCGACTGATGTATAGACAATGGAAAAAGTCTGTATTAAATATGGACTTGTGATTCACCAGTTGAAGTGTTTATTTATTTGCAAAATATTGTTCTAAATGAAAATTACATTTCACCTACAACTAATTACGTTTGAACAATAAGACATATTGGAGGAGAACTTCACTTTACTCATCCGTCATACATATTAGTTGAATACCTACTTATTCGTACGATAACGGTGAGACAACATCTAAAGATGTCTCTTATGAGATTAAATACAGGCAAAACATTCAAATGTTTGCATACTTCTGTCAGTTTTCGAAATAATTTATACTATGTGTAAAACGATAGTCAGTATATGTATTTCTACTGCCATAATTATATGGGATGATAAAGAATAGTAATAAAAATATTTGTTGGATATCGAGGTAAAACATACTGCATCAGGCATTAAGCTAGCATATGGATCCATTTCTGGAGTATTTAATTCCCCCTGAAGGATTCTGGCAAGAAACAAAGGACGAACTAGGCTGCGTAATTCATCTTCGGTGATATTGCCAGATTTGGTTAGATTCAACAATTCTGAATACACATTAACCGCACTGGGAATAGCATTTTCTATGTTAACACCAGCTTTGACAGCGGCAACAGCAGCTTCTTGAAGATTCGAATAAAAATGATGTTTTGATACTAAAAATTGTAGAGCTCCTTGGTCACTGATAACAAAACCTAAATGAAAATGATGCATTTAGGCAAGTTAAGAATTAAAATACAAAATCGTAGTCGTGATGAAGCCAAATAAAATCAGGGTCACCTTTGGACAGTAAAACAACGACTATTCTATTATTTTAGCTTGGAATCCAAAGTCGACCAATACTTACGTAACTCGCATAGTTTTTTTAGGATAGTATTTTCCTATCACTAGTTATGCCGATAAACCTCAAGCCTTGTGATTGCAAAATAAAAGCTATCCAAATGGGTGATTTTCAGGGCGCTTGTTACTGATTGTTTTTTTCCTTCAACATGCACATACCAGCTCACTTACTCCTTTGAAGCTGAAAGCATTGGCCGTGACACTGTAAAACGCGCTCTAGAATACTATCTCGCTTGGCTGGCACAGTGAGAAGGCAAGTGTGTATACATTCTGGTAACAGAACATTTGAAGATGTTAAGCCATCCAGCTCCATCTGAAAAGTCCTTCAAACTCATATACAAGATCCAGTCAAATCTCTCGAAAAGAGTGAAATCAAGGTATCTGGACATAGCCGAGGCACTAGCGATCCAAAAGTTAAATCCCACTCTAAGTATTCAGAATAAATACATCCAGCCGCTATCTCCACCGTGGCGATCATAAAAATCAATTGTGATTATCCTATTACGTTTCTTATCCGATCTTATTGTTTATTTCTCTTATTTTTAGGTGTCTGAATTCTTCTATGTACCACTTTCTTTTCCATCTGAACTTCCTGCTTATTTTATTATTACTACATTTTTGATACCTTATTGCAGAAAACGTCACTTTCCTCAGGAATTTTGATCTTACTATGTTTATCCAGTTAGACAGGAATATTAGTGAATAAACTAAAATCAAATTTAAGTACTGCTATACGTGTCCTTTCGTTAAACCTTTGTCCATGTGTGAACTCACATAGCCATCAAACCAGATCGTAGTACAAGTAGCATAAACAATTTACTGTAATCACAATATGTTATAGTCTTTTTAAATGAATCGAGATATGCTAATCCAAATCAGGAAATATTTTGGTTCTCCATTCACACACCAGGATAATTCCACTGCTTTCTGAGTATGGTGTCTAGTAACCATTGGTTAACGCAGGACGGTGTACCGTTTACTCCACTGTAAGCACACATTACTCCCACAGCTCCAGCCTGTAAGCATGCACGAAACGCTGGTAAATATGTCATCCACATATCGTGTTCTGGTACTTCAGCTTCAAACGATAGTCTTGAAAAGGGATCATTTTCAGGTCCAGTATGTGCGACATAATGTTTACAGTTTGCGCCTACCATCATTACATGCTGTTTCACTGGGTTTGTGTCTAGCTTCTGTAACTAATAAAAAAGAAAATAGTACGTGAAAAATCACAGTGATATCGAAAGAAAAGCGAATTTATTTTCATTTTCAAAGAAATTTTTGAAGTTGATGGAATATATAATAATAACGTCACTATTTTCTTCTACCGATGTAGACGAAGATAATGTTTTTACTTCAGTGCTGTTGCTTTATTTTTAGAAGTAATTTTACGTTAATATAAATATTTAGGAAGCGTATATCTGTTTTATTGTAAAAACAAGATTTTAAGGTGTAATATGACAAATACGCTTCACTGTGATTGTGGTTTATAACTTTCATGATTTCAAACAAATGTGATACTGTTGGGATCACAGTTAAAATTCTATCCACAGACTATGGGAAAAAATTCGTCTGGAAATTGCAACAGATATATTATATGGGGGATTTCGCCATGAGCTGACATCAATTAGAGAACCACTTGAAAACCTGGGAGTACTGGACAGTTTCTCATATCGTCCTAGTTTGGGACTCTTCAGCAGTACGCACACACCGGGGTTCGAACCCAGGACCTTCTGATTACAAGGCGAGCTTGTACACCATTAAACCACTGGGACCCGATCCAATGGTCCTTGAATCTTAACTTCTTCCAATTCACGACATAGCGGGAACACTTCGCAATGCCTTCTTCAATGAGTTACTGCCTCATCTTCAACCTGCTGTACCCTACTGGTCACGGCTTCCCACTAGAACCTCAGGTTAACTGCCTAAATAGGGCCAGTAACTAGTGAGCATCAGATTAATTTTCATGTATTTGTGAAATCCCCATGCAATCAAACAAAATCCCTACAAAACCAATACTTGAGGAAGTATTATAGTATGCTTTATTCAGTCCTAAATTTTCTGTTGGCATGGTTTTCGAATTCACAATAAAAGGCAGTCTGAAAGAAATAGTTAACCAGTACTCCCTGGTTTTCAATGCTTCTCCAACTCGTATCAATCCGTGATCAAACTTGAAATAAATTTTTTTCCAGTAAATTCTCTTCAGATTCTTATAATTATAAAAGAAAATATTCATCATTACATTTATGTGACGGGTAAATTTTAACAAAGAATAGCAGATTAGCAACGAAATAAATAGCCCTTGTGTGGTAAACACACTGGCTGAATGTAATTACAAAATATTGTGAAATGATAATTATTAGGCATAATATGGGCAGGGGGAAATCGATAAGTCAGTTTAAAGTCGTAAAATGTTTCTGGTGAAGTTGAGATTGATAACATTTCGCACATTACGCCAAATGAAATTTGAATACAGATGAAAATATGACCTGTTGTTTCGTGTGCTACTAAGAAGATTTATAAGTAGTATATATGGGGATTACTGGTAAGCGGCCAATAGTGAAATTAACATTTTATGACAATGACTACAGTGTCAGAAGTGTTTATTACTCAAATCTGAATCTAGTTTATAGTCTGAACATGAAATAACCCCGTTTGACAACTTTTATCACATTGTTTGATCTTGGGCCAATTGCCAATCAGTCAGAACAATTTATTGTCCACTGAACTAGGCGGATTTTAATATGGCTGAAATTGTATAAATATGTCTTTTTCCTTAATAAAGGTTTGTTACCAATTCTCGTATCTTCCGTTGTTACACTATATGTGAGAAAACTAGCTTGCATGAAAAAGGAATATTTTCGGCAAACCTTTTACAAACACGATTTACCTAATTTGCCCTCTTAAACAGAAGTGTTTTAGCCCTGCAGTCAGTCAAAATATTTACCAGAATACAAATTATTCAAAATCACCTGTGTAGTATTTTTAAGTTTCAGTGATTGAAGGAAGGATCACCAAACTCAGAATTCTGAGGAGCCACATGTAAATGTTGTCACGTTTACAAGCAAAATATTAGTAAGATAAATACCACTGAAGTAACTGAAGTTTTGGCGGTGAATCTATTCAAATATATTGCTGATAATCTCAGTCTCGTACCTGCCAGTCCGAGGAGAATCAGTTAAATCAAATAGATATGGCTAAGTGAGTGGGAGTGGATTACTCGTATCACTCAGTAATACCCAACATCTCTCTCTCTCTCTCTCTCGGTTTTAAACCTGAAATCAATAATGGTGGCTTATGAATCACATTCTGTGTGCCCATTGTCTGGTTTCATTTGTAAACCATGATGAAATTATAATAAAAACTAAGCAAAATGTAAGCAGTTGACTTAATTCAAGCAACAATGATGCCTGGAATGTATAGTACACTTGCTGGCATCGTCAAAAATCAAGATTATCAAATGATAAATATTCATGCATTATAAGATTAAATGAATAATAAATACAGCCATTATTTACTGGATATTTTTTCAATGAGAGCAGCGCGGACGTAGAAATGAATTACTTATTGATTAATTGACTGATATGAGCGCTTGGAAACCACTCATGTCAAAGAATAGTAATTGCCAGTCAGGTCTTAGTGGCCAGAAGGTGGTTTCGGTCATCTAAGTCCAGCGAAAGGGTTCTCCAGTGTCTAGATGCCAACTAGCAAACACTATTATTTGGCGTCAGTGGTTTCCGTGCACTCATATCAGTCAAGTAGTAAATAGTATATACTGTCACTCTATTCCATGTCCTTTCTTGACTGCCAGTAGATTACATCTGAATAGTTGTGGCTTGAAAAGCAAACTTTGTAACTTGAAAATGGCGGTTGTGAACGGTGTTTGAACTGCATCAATAAGAGGATGATTTGGGTTTACTTTGGATTTTACTAAATTACATATTGTTAGAAAAAAATTAGCAGAGGAGTACTTGTGTAAGTGCATATAAGTGTTTAAGATGAAGTCGTCTAAAGATAGATAGCCAGACATATTTCAAGGCATTGCATACAAGGTAGCACTAAAAAGCTCCCCGAAATAAGATAAATGGATTTTAACGGTTGTATGATTTAACCTGCCAAATATCTTAAAATTATTGTAGATTGCAAAAGTAACACTTAGTCAGACTGTTGGAAAAACAAGAAGTAGGATAAACGCAATAATCTAGGCCCTGTACTGTTATGCGTCTTGGAATGTCAGCAAATATAAGTGAAATAAAAACGTACTGACGAACAATGAATGCATTTAGAAAAAACAATCAGTTTTCAAATTTTCTATCATCAAATGGACATTCAACCAAATTAGAAAAATTGCGTAATAATTCTGACAGTTAACACTCAAAAACTCATATTCTAAAATAAAGTAGTAAATGATATTCGATTCCTGTGTCATGTCAAATGTAAAACACCAACTAAGGCTAGCACTATGTAATTGTACTCGTCTTCTGTTATAGTATGTACCTTGTTCACATTGTCATTTGGAACATCCCAACCTCCAACTCCATGGACATAAGCTCTTGCAAATTCACCAGCTAAATAAGGATCTTCACCATAAGTTTCTTTATTTCTCCCCAAAGGGGATGTCGTAAAAGGTTGACAACTGGTGCGAAAACATTTATACCAGTATTATCCTGTGAAGACAGAGAAAACAATGGAACTTTGTATCATCCATGCTAAATATTAATATGTATGATCAATCACTTACGGAGGTAGATGAAGATTGCTGAATCAAATTAAACTAACAATATATTCTGGATTACCTGAAATTTTGTTTTTCATTTCAGCTTTTAACATATTCATTCCGTTATTGTAATGATATCTTCGTGCGTCGGTGGTATAGCGGTTAGAACGCTCGCCGACTATCCACATGGTCCGGGGTTCGACCCTGGCCGGCGCACTCCTTTACCTCACTGAGCCAGAAATAATGCTGGTAAAGAGTAAAGGTTGGGCATGTGGCTAGCAACCCCATCCTGTAAAAATTAAATACTGCTACAGAAACTTCAAGCCACTAGCTTGGAGCCCTATGTTCCACTGGGAACGTGAAGGAAAAATTATTAATTTTAAAAAATTTAATGATATCTTCGCAGAATGTAAAATGAAAATCCTCAGTGATAGCGATAGATCCCTAAAAGTAGTGGTGCTTTTTGAGGCGAAAATATGATTTATAAGTTTATTAATATTAATTATTCTTGATTCGACTAATTTTTATGTGGAAGCCAATTAAGTGAAAAAACAGATGTAATTTTTCTTGGTAAACACCTATAGAAAACTATTCACTTAAGAACCGCTTTTGATGCCTACATCCACTCAAAAATAGATTCCACATGCGAGAATTGAATTCCAGTCATCATTCAGATTCGTTATGAGAAATAATCAATAACCATAAGTGAAGACACAACAAATTAATAGTTAGGAAAAAATGAAATTATCATCTTATAAATTCTGAATACATAGTAGAAGTGAGTATGTTTCATGGAATATCCATATAGCAGTTGTTGGAGATCGAAAATTAATGTTGCTATTCTCAATAGGCGATTTGTGTTAGGATAGATGTCATGTGTAGTCAACTAAAACTAGATGAAAACTGAATATTGTATTTCGTATCACTTTATTACCATGAAACATGACAACATGAAAAATTTGAAGTATCTGATTTAAAGGTACTTATGCTAAATTATTGTTTCCCTTAATTTATTCATCCAGAACTAAATTATAAAATTCACAGATGTTTAAATATACTGAGGACCTCTAAAAAGGCGCCTACTGCATTAATGATTGTTGTTTGAAGAAACTAGTGAGTCTAGTAGTTCAACAGGATACAAAACAACGGTGGCAAAGTTAAAGAATAGCGGTCCAAGCGTCTGAATAGGCACTACTGACCTTGAAACGACCAATCGAAATAATCAGTGTTACTTACATGAAAGTGTCCTCCATTTACTCAAAATATACAGCTAACAATTACGAACACCCAAAAACTATTTACTAGGAAAATACAGATAATAAAAATAAAACACTCTTACTCTAATGCCAACATTAATCCTAACCCTGACGAGCTATCTACCTATTATCCAAGCAGTTGTTGAAAAAGAGATCGGAATGAAATTTGCACGTCAATTAGTACACGACATTCAAAGTGGCATTATAACAATGGTAGATCCCGGTCGCTTACCTTCCAGTAGTTCAAATTGAAATTAGTAGCACTATCACCGCTTCAAGCATAAATGATGAGGCCAGATAGCAAAAACGAAGGCGAAAAAAAGTTTGGTTGAATATTGGAAGGAGTGTTTCAGTTGCTCTAATACAGTTGTCTAATTCCAAGTGTTTGGTGTCATATACAGGAATGAAAAATTCAGTGTTGTCTTCTACTTAGTTTTGTAATTTTTTGTATTTTGGAAATTCGAACTTCAGCACTTAGTTTTTAAAGAGGTAACCTTAGTTATCTAACTATATCAGTCTTTGTTATAACTTCTAGTTTTTATTCATATATTTTTATTATAAAATTTTGATCTTATTTCATTTGGTTCGCCTCTTCTTACTTATACTGTAAGATCGTTTTGAATCTAAGACTAATGGATATCAGGTAATCTATTTCTTTTATCCCTACACTAGAAATTCTATCACCCTAAAAATCAATAAACTTCGGCTCTGTGTTTGACAACTATTGCCATTTATTAATTTTCATGTGCTACATTTTTGAATCAGTCAAGAAACACACTAAATTGTTTACCAAAATATTAGATTGATGACTTGATTAGTCATGCCTATTGATTGTATGCTACCAATAGCCAGTATCCTAAGACAGAAGTAAATATAGAAAATTTTGAGTTTGTAAACATATATTGATAATAATAACCAAGTTTATCACGACGTTTTCATTATCTGATAGCAAAATAGGGAGAAGAGGAAGTTTCAACTTTACCACGTATTACTTCCAAGCTTCGACTGTGTCAGACATGTGCCACATGAAGCAGTTCGAATTTTTGATAAGCATTTAAACTCCCATAAAGTAAAAGTCAACTCACATGATAATTATTATGTTTACTAAATTCATTCCATTTAGCTCTCATTTCCAATCCACTGGCAAATGCGGTTTGCCAAACATTACGAATGTCGAAGGAAGCAGCCTGGTTAAGTTGATGAACAAATGAAGTACACTGCCCTTGATTCGGGTTTGTACGCCACTGATATGGTTTGATTTTTAATCTTGGAATAGCTGGTCCAGGTCCATAGGTTGGTCCAGCTCCACCATTCGCTAACTGATCAACAATTTCCTCAATAGTTAAACGTGATATTAAATCATTTAATCTTTCTTTGATGGGAGCTGATGGATTAATAAATACTTGGCCGTCTATTATAATCCCGTAATGGATGGATATGACGCATAAACTAAATGAAAAAAATTAGAATGATATATGAAATAAATTCAAGGTATGTTTTTACTGCAGTGTGCATATAGTAGTTGTACTTTTTACGTGCTCTGAATTTCACTCTGTCCTATTCATGGGGCCACGTATTAACTAGGGTATGTTTCCACTTCTTAAGATAGAAAATCTTTTAGTAAGTACTGTCTATTAAGGCTGGTATGGATTATTTCATTTACAAACTGAATATAACGAGTTTTGCTATAAATTAATGATCTTATCACTTATCAAATCCTCCTGACCAGTGACATCTTATTAAGTAATCAGTAAAACACATTATTTCTTTATATGCTTTGAGATGCGCTACGTTCAGTATTAAGTAAGACAAATGTTCACACTTTCGAAACCAGTGTGGATATGTACAACATTCAGCACTATAAACACAGTCAGAATTTTAAACGCCAATGTCAAGTCAGGGATTCTACATGGTTCAGATACTTGGCACACTCGTCACTGAAGCCATTTCCAACAGACAGAAGATTTTCGTTAACTGTTGTCTTCGTTGGCTACAAGGGATAAGCAGTAAGGGATACTGGGAACTAACCAACACAGAACCTATTACTCAATAAATATATGAAAGGAAATGAACATGCATGGAGTACACGCTGAGGAGATTGTTGAGTGTGTAGCGGCAAATAATTCCCAGAAATTATTAGCCTACAGCATTCATCGCTTAACACTGAATTCTGATCTTGAATGTTTAAGTATACTTGAGTAGTTTTGGGCTCGTGATCAATCATCCACGCCATTTACCATGCCGTCATGTTACGTTTGCATAATCCCTAGCTGGTTAAGCAATCATTCTAAAATATACTGCATATTTTGGACGATCGATTCAGTGTTTTGATTGGCCTTTTGTCTACTCAGAGCATATAATATAGGAGTTGCGATTTCCGTAAGTCAGCACCCCCTTCATCTCATAAAAGTGACATTATACGCCAGGCCATCTAGTGAAATCAAAATAAGAGACGATGAGCTGCGCATGGGTCTGAGGGTGACATGAAGGAGATCATGTGAGGAGGGAATGAAAGCATGTCGGTAATCGTGGAATCAGCTAAAAGCGAAATCAAAGGACAGAATGAAATGGTGTGCTGCCGAAGACCTATGTTCCGTTCAGAATCCAAAATAATAATAATACATTCAGCAGTCACACAGTAAAATACTGCTAGGTTCAGGAAATACCAAAAGATGGTGAAGATAACCAGTGTACATTTAGTCCCTGAATGCATAAAGTTATTTCATGCTACTACAAGATTTCACTTTATAATTTCATTTTAACTAAACAACATTAATGAGATTAAGGATCACTAGATCACTTCTCAGCATATGACAACTGTTTTTACTTTAAAAGCTTCTCTAGAAATGTTGTTTTTATTAGTTTTTCCCGACCTAATTAAGAATGACGGTTATTAGTTTTTTTATACATAGGAAGTCTCTTAAACGTGCATCAAAATAATTTTTCTCGATAATCATAGTTAAAATAAGCATAATAGAATACAAAGCATATTTTGTTGTCTCGTAGTGGAACGTTTCCCAGTGGAACATAGGGCTTCAATCTAGTGGCTTGGGATTTCTGTAGCAGCGTTTATTTTTACAGGATGGGGTTGCTAGCTTCATGCCCAAACTTTCCTCTTTACCAGCGTTATTTCTGGCTTAGCGAGATAAAGTAGTGCGTCGGCCGGTGATCGAACCCCGAACCATCTGCATGGTCGGCGAGCATCCTAACCGCTATGCTACCGACGCACTAAATATATCTTTAACGACAGTAAGTTTCGTTATGAAAAGATATCAGATACACAATCTCTAAAAAATATGGAGCACCAAACAGTTGGTTCGTTCTAGTTTGAAATTCCTGAAAAAGGAGCACCCATGATCCCTTTAGAGACCGAACTCAAGACGCTTAGGTTACAAACACATCACGCTACGATTCAATAACTAAACTTAGGCCCGATAGTAGAAATTTCAGTGAATCCACAATGCAGTGCCACTGCCATCGAGTTCGTCTACCTGGTATCTGTCCTCAATCGGTGCCCCGTGCTCACTATGGTTCCAGGAATCTCAGCAGGAGGTTGTCGACTGATGAACATTAGACTGGTTTCCGCATGTTGAGTGTTTCAGGATTCAACTTGGTGCTATGTTGCGAATCTGGTATCAATCTCTAGAGAAGATACTGATGCGTAATACCGAGGAATGACAAACGTGAACGGACAAACTATTAGGTATTCTCTAATTTTAAACGATTGTATATCTGTTGTTACTTAACCACGAGGCCCACTTTGAAATTAATCTAGTTTCCACAAACTTGATTTGAAAAAAGTGATCACTTTTGTCTAGGATTGATGCATAAACCGTTTAAATTTTAGCAAGAATAAACAGAATTACTTAAGTCAGCCTACCCCTTATGGCCGAATCCCAGAGAAAATCTAGACATAGGCAGTCTTAAGGACACAGAATTCAGTATTATTTGGAATGATTGTGGTCTAGTACATACTGTTGCATAAATATTATACTAATTGGTAATTACTAATAGAAATGTTTACTGATCAGTAAACATTACTGTATAACACTGTGAGACTATATCAAAAACAAAAATTTACCCAAAATGGAATTAAACTATATTCCCTTTTTGTAACAGTAACCAAACATTGAGTCAGGTAGGGTGATCTAATGAAATATAGCAGTTCTTGTTTTTCTTTTGCATCATATGAAAGTGATTCGTTGATTCCCTTCATTCAACAGTGGCTCTATAAGACTCACGACTATATAAATAGCCGATTGAAACCTCAAAAAGCTTGAATACACTGTTAATAATCAGTAATGAATGAGTTCTTTTTAAAACTTTTCTGGCAATGTTTCGATACTTACTAACAATACATTATCACTAGGAATTAGACACAACGCTCACCACACACTTCGGGAAATTAAACTTGAAATGTTTTCAGGAGGCCTAAACAAATCGCCGATCAGGTAGTCGTCCACTTTTCAAAATAATTTGTGACAGTAAACTTTCAGCAGATAAAAAACAGTACCCAGAAAACAATCTGGAATGATAACTTTGTGAAAGGAGACTAAAAATCGGAGGAAAATAAACTAATAGACAAAATGACCACTTAGAAAATATCTAAGATGATCAACACAACATCTTCGTTAATGGATCAATATAATCTTTATGGTGAATCGATTAACTGTCAAATGAATGAGAAGTACCCGAATGTCTCGCATTTCATTATCAGTAGTTGCCAAGTGAGAACAATGCCTATGACTCTCAGTGCTATCTTGTCCAAACTGTAGTGAAAACACTTGTACAACTAATATCTGAATGACTTTGATGATGAATGAAACTGTCAGAAAAGCAATCCTACCCTCCTCTTTTTATTCACAACAACGATACAACTGTCTGAACTTAGAACATTAACTTACTGGTAAATACCCTGGGTTTCTACCTGAAATTTATCTTACTCCTCAAGCAAATAATGTACATGAGTTAGGGGAAATAAAACGTCCTACTTAGGATAAAACAGCATAAAAATTATAACGATTCTCGTTAGTCATTATAATTGTTTGTAGTATACACTTAACACTATCTTCGGGAAACACTACATATCCAGTAAAGTGAATTCATTAGCGACATCCAAGAATGGAAATGGAAATCCATCATTATTTTTTGGAACTATTATTTTTGAATTCCCTGTAGACTGACTTTATTGGACTGAATTGCTAGGTCTGTGTTGATGTTCAAATCGATGACCAATGGGTATGAACCCCAGTAGGAACACAACTGCTCACTGCAGACGCAGGTACATCTAATTGACAAGTCCTAGATGCATCGAAATGGCAGTTATGTAGACCAATGTTAGCGATCATCAAGCGAAAAAAAGCCCTCATATATTAAACCTTGGGAAATGTTTACGTAACAAAGATTTTATCATCTTAAACTGACAGATGAATTAACTTTTGCTAGTCATAGTGAGCAACAGTATTCAGACTTAGTTATAAGACTCATCAATATGTTTTCACATTTCACGTGTTGTAGTAAGGATTCCTCTTAGGTTTTGATGGCCGATAAGAGTGAAATGTGTAGATCTGTCATAATCGCAAAACTATAGATAACTCAGATTGGTATACTTTACAGGCAACCAACTTACATAAAATGTAAAAGCCTTTGTCTCATTTCAACAGATATTGTTTTTGAAAAATGAGGTAAGTATCAATTCCGGGGACTTTGGTTATCTGTTTATTAGTTTTATTAAGTTTCGGTGTAAACTAAATTGGATTGGTTTATTGTACTAATAATTTATATCGATATATTATGGTTACCAAATACACTACTCTGAATTGGATAAATCTACTTCGTTCGTACAGCTGCACACACATGGATGCACAAAAGAGCAAAGATAAAGTCAAGTGGATAAAACAAAACACTGAATATTTATAGTTCATTTTGACTATGATAAACATACGACTTCGTTAAATAAACAAGATTAAATTATTTTAGGTTTTCAGACTGATAGGCTGAAAACAATTCTAATTGCAGGCTAGCATAACTTAGGCTAAGTAAAACAACTGAAGTACTTTTTATCCAATATTAAACCTTTGTTCATGTTTCTCATTATTCTTGTCAGTAAGAGTTATTAAAGTATCTTTCCTAACAATAGTGCTTATGAACTAAAAGTGAGGAAAGTGTCTACCAGAAATTGATTTTTACTACCAGACTGACAAAATAATATTCACTGAAACTGATACTCTTCATGTACTGGAAAACGTTTTTACACATTTTCCCAAGATACGTTTCTCAACAAACAAAGTTATACCACATCACAGGCTAGCGCACAGCTTTTACGTTCTATTTTGAGACTCTGCTGTGGTTCAGATTTCATCTGTACTAATAAGATGCAAAATGATCAGGCCTTCCAGCCCATGGATAAAAAACATCAGATACACAAGCTCTTAAAGTATGGTGCTAATTCCTGTTGACCTCCTAACCGATGGCCCTTTACTCAACGTGACGAGGAAATTTCGCAAACCGTTATGACGCAGCGAAGTACAAAAGCTGGAATGACCGTCTCTTCTGTTATGTTGTGCCTGAAATATCAGTTGGATAGCATCCAGACTAGAAAAAATTCCTATAATAGGGTAATTGACTATCGTGGGGGTGTGAGAGAGAAGACATTCTTTCGTATGTGTGTGTTTGTCTCACACATAATCAACAAGCCAGGTATGCTGTCCTAAGGCTCTGTGAAGGAAAGTTTAGAAACATTTTTCTCAGAAAATTTAAGTTTTAAAGTATCTTACGGAAGTGCATAATCAGCGGTAAGGATGATAATTTACTAACTACAAATTCACACAGGTTGCGAGTTACCGGTCACAAGCAATTATCCCCTGGACTCATCTTCAGGTTACCGACTTTACTCTTCTACTGCGTCTCTCAGATCTTTCAAATGTCACTGGCTAAATGAACCAGAGAAACACTGATCTTATTATCATAAAATTATGCCACCTACTTCAACTTCAAGCTGGTAACGTCCAGGCCTTATAGCGAATCGGATAAAAAAAACCAGAACCCAGAACTACAGCATTTCAGTGTTTGAATACATTTCGTAACTTTAAGAAAACATAACACACTGAAGTGCAATTATTCACCTAACTCCACCTGCCTAAATTATTGGCTCGAAAACACCAGCCTTACAAATATCAGGATATCCTTACTGTTCTCCGTAATTTTTGGTTTAGAAAAAGCATTGAGTTTGAGAGCCAAGACATCAGGTATCGACTTCAATCCCAGTTGAAGGTTTTCTGTGTTCTGACCGTCCAGATACACCAGTACGAATAAGGAAATATTGCGACGCTTTTCAGCGCATCCTCATGATCTCCGCTTAAACGCTGAATAACTGTGGTTCAAAAATAAATAAAAAGATAAGTTGCAGTAGAAAATGCCGCACTAAGAGAAAAATCGCCAAATCAACAAATAAATTCAGCAAGTGTCAAAAGTATACTGGAAGTATCAACGGAATTCCATGCGAATAAAATTTTAACCGTTATTATATTTTACAGTTCATTTAATATAAACAACACCTCGTGGCTAGAAATTAACTACAGAGTGCTTCACCTAACAACCAACGACTTAAAGCCAAGGAAAGATATAAATCAACCAACTATAGAAAAAATATCGAGGGAAATGATGTGTGGAAGAATGCCATTAGTCGTAAATGAGCTATGTCCAAACGAATGAGCTCACAGTTAGCCAAAAAATGTGCCCAAAGTCAATCCCCAGAAAACAAAAATAAGTATCGTAGTGTAAAAAAAGAAGACAAGGGCCAGGCAACACATAGTTTATTAAGGAAATCAACACAAATGTATATATATTTCATGTACATTATTACAGCTAATTCAAGCAGAAAAACACGGATTGTAGATGGACTGATTCCTGCTCAAGGAAATTCTATACAGCTTGTGAAAGGTATCTCAGAGAGTAAGGCCATATACCTGCAAAATATATTAACAAGATAATCCTGCAACCAATGCTGGTGGTAACAGACAGCCATAAAAAATCTCACGGGAAAAAGTAGAGATATAGATAAAAAGGAAAATCAAAGAGTAGCATGTCATAAGGAGACTGCATTCAAAACAGGAGTACACAAAAAAGGAATAGCGAAGATCTCACAGAGAAAAAGACAAATAAACTAGAAGGCTGGACAAACATACTCAGACTCTCGCTGTAGATATTCAGGTGACTCTTCACTTTGTCAGCAGCTCTACTCAAGGGAACGATATTGTCTGCATACTACAAGTCAATCCTCGCCTAGTTTACTAGCCGGTGGTAAGCTTGCAGGAAGAGGGAAGCTTGTGCGTGAGGCTGGTCACCCTACTCAAAAGAAAACCAAGCCAGTCACTGCACAAACTTCAAAGCACAAAACAAGGAATTCGGATAAACCTATTCTTCACTAGAATCCGGAGGGACAAATGTCACCACTTGGTGAAAGCCTTCGCTTCGCTAAGCCAGTCAGCTGTTGCGTCCTCTCTCGATGTAAGAAAAAGTTAGCAAAGCCACATGGAATATCCACATCATGTTTCAGGCTGGAAAGGTTGCTCAGATCGCAGAAGAAGCGAGAAGATAGAGTAGAGAAGTGCTACAAATCTGTGAGATCAGGTGGAATGGAAATGGACTCTACACATTTTTAACTTGACAGTCAACAATCCACTCCGATCACCCGGACGACAACCACGAACACACTGAGGCAGTCAGTGGCTATCATGATGTCACCAAGAGCAACCAAAGCTCGTGTGCAGTGAGAATCAATCTCCTCCGAGATCATGACAGCAAGACTCAACTCGGAAGGAAGGCAGTTGATAATTACGCAATTCGACACACCGACAAACAACGAAGACCCAGTGAAGAAGGCGAATTTCCACAAAAAATGCAAACAGTAATCGACAAGATACCAGACAGATGGCGACAACAAAATTCTAACGGGTGATGTGATCGCTATGCAAACTCGGAGCAGACAACGCACACACACACACACACAGACAACTCATCATGGCTAGAGAGGCGCTCGGTGGAGTGAATGTGATCGGAGAAATATTTGCAGACTTCTGCGTCTACAATGATTTCAACATTGTGGGCAGCGTGCAGAAGCACAAGCATATTCACGCAACAATGTCGGTTTCACCAGACGGACACACCAAAACTCCAGTAGAATTCATCTCATTCTCACGATAGTAGAGACGCAACCTACTGGGAAGAAGAAGAATTACAAGAGCAGCAGATCAAGTTTCAAATCACCATCTAATTCAACAGATCGCTGGCCAAACATACTCAGACTCTCGCTGTAGATATTCAGGTGACTCTTCACTTTGTCAGCAGCTCTACTCAAGGGAACGATATTGTCTGCATACTACAAGTCAATCCTCGCCTAGTTTACTAGCCGGTGGTAAGCTTGCAGGAAGAGGGAAGCTTGTGCGTGAGGCTGGTCACCCTACTCAAAAGAAAACCAAGCCAGTCACTGCACAAACTTCAAAGCACAAAACAAGGAATTCGGATAAACCTATTCTTCACTAGAATCCGGAGGGACAAATGTCACCACTTGGTGAAAGCCTTCGCTTCGCTAAGCCAGTCAGCTGTTGCGTCCTCTCTCGATGTAAGAAAAAGTTAGCAAAGCCACATGGAATATCCACATCATGTTTCAGGCTGGAAAGGTTGCTCAGATCGCAGAAGAAGCGAGAAGATAGAGTAGAGAAGTGCTACAAATCTGTGAGATCAGGTGGAATGGAAATGGACTCTACACATTTTTAACTTGACAGTCAACAATCCACTCCGATCACCCGGACGACAACCACGAACACACTGAGGCAGTCAGTGGCTATCATGATGTCACCAAGAGCAACCAAAGCTCGTGTGCAGTGAGAATCAATCTCCTCCGAGATCATGACAGCAAGACTCAACTCGGAAGGAAGGCAGTTGATAATTACGCAATTCGACACACCGACAAACAACGAAGACCCAGTGAAGAAGGCGAATTTCCACAAAAAATGCAAACAGTAATCGACAAGATACCAGACAGATGGCGACAACAAAATTCTAACGGGTGATGTGATCGCTATGCAAACTCGGAGCAGACAACGCACACACACACACACAGACAACTCATCATGGCTAGAGAGGCGCTCGGTGGAGTGAATGTGATCGGAGAAATATTTGCAGACTTCTGCGTCTACAATGATTTCAACATTGTGGGCAGCGTGCAGAAGCACAAGCATATTCACGCAACAATGTCGGTTTCACCAGACGGACACACCAAAACTCCAGTAGAATTCATCTCATTCTCACGATAGTAGAGACGCAACCTACTGGGAAGAAGAAGAATTACAAGAGCAGCAGATCAAGTTTCAAATCACCATCTAATTCAACAGATCGCTGGCCAAACATACTCAGACTCTCGCTGTAGATATTCAGGTGACTCTTCACTTTGTCAGCAGCTCTACTCAAGGGAACGATATTGTCTGCATACTACAAGTCAATCCTCGCCTAGTTTACTAGCCGGTGGTAAGCTTGCAGGAAGAGGGAAGCTTGTGCGTGAGGCTGGTCACCCTACTCAAAAGAAAACCAAGCCAGTCACTGCACAAACTTCAAAGCACAAAACAAGGAATTCGGATAAACCTATTCTTCACTAG